TAGGTTACGCACTATGATCTCCAACCACCACATACAGGGTGGCCCAACGAAAAAGTAGAACCCCTATTTGTGACTCTCCTGGTACATTTTGGAAAAAACACTCAGACAGGTCAATTTTGATTTCTAGAGAGACCTATTTCCATCTATATCCGTACAATACGGGTGATTAAAAATAAGATATTGCGTTGATAAAGTTTATACCTATCTTCAATCGTTGTGAAACGATTTGAGTTTATAATAAAATTCGAAAAATTATGATAATAAGGGATTGTATCGTAAAAATAATAATCAATATAGTTCCCATAGTAACAAGACTTTACTTCAAAATTAAAAACAAGTCTCCGAGTATTAAAACACAAAAAACAACCTACAGTGGACAAGCACATTAAAGTTAAGGTAAAAACCAATTGGCTATAAAGAGGTAGGTCAATGTGGTAATAAGTGCTGACGAAAATCTTGAATTGACTTCGTTCTAAAAACATTACTTTTCAAATACCTCCGAAGGATGTAGTCTAACGCACTTAGATCATCAATCTGTCTCCTCTTTTGCTCTAAAGCGGCAAAAAGTTCATATTTTTATCTCGTATTTGCTTATCTAAGTATTCCCATAGATTTTCAATGGGGTTTATATCGGGAAACTGTTAAGGTCATTTGAGAACTGCTATTTTTTCATCCAGAAAGAATTTCTTTGCGAGAGTTGAAGTGTGCTTCGGGTCATTATCTTGCTGGAAGATTGATCTTAATGGCATATTGTTTTCCATATAGGGTAACATGACATGCTTTAGTATGTCTGTGTATACAAACTTATCCATAGTGCCATCTATTATATGTAAAGGTCCCATCCCAAACCCCGAAAAGCACCCCCAAACCATAACAGATACTTTTGTCCATTACTGTACATCTTTAGAGCTGAAATTTGTACACAATCACAGATGAGCCCTAAAGTCTATCAAAAAAATATTTCATACTGAAATGCACTGAACTGTTTATAAAGTTAGCACGCAAAATAAAGACACATTTATGCTTCAAATTACCTTAGACTAGTTAGTATGTAGCATGTGCTAAATGGCTACATTATTGATGACTGCATGACTTTGTCAAATAAGTAGGCCACGTAATCCAGTTTCTTTACGAAGAACTACAATTCCCTGGACCTTTTTTCTAAAAGTCTTGGAAATATATTGGAAAATAAACTCGAGAAAACGAAAAAACAATAGAGAAAACTGACCGTCTTCAAAATTAGGCAAAATGCTCGGCATTGGTCCCTAATACATTATTTGAAGTTTCAGCATTTTATCATGTATAGTTTTCGAGAGTATTCTAATTATTTGTAATATAAATATTTGATATGCCTTTAACGTTCGCTTGACATTTGTCAGTGTCAAGTGTAGTGGTTGATATTTGTCTACTGTTTTTCCATATTTTGAACTCGCAGTCGTTTTAATCGTACGAGATTTCAAAAACAGACGTCTACTGTATTAAGGCTTTTAGAAAAAAGGTCCAGGGAATTGTATTTCTTCCTCAAGAAACGGGACTACGTGACCTACTTATTTGACAAAGCCTAAGACAGTTTGAAATATAATTGTCTTCATTTTGCGTGCTAACTTTATAAACTGTTCAGCGTATTTCAGTATGAAATATTTATTTTTATAAACTTTAGGGCTCATCCGTGACCGTGTAAAAATTTCAGCTCTAAATATGTATACACAAGAGTATGAAGAAATCTTAAAAAAATGTTTTCTTCGCAACAAAACGTGGTAGACACATCCGCTTTGTTATAAAATGTGTAGAACAACGTATGTTTTTCGAACATCGTAGCGAATCTGTTCAATTACCCACAAATACGAAATGTTTGAATTTGTTTAGACGAAAAAAACGTAACCCTTCGTTTTTCGCATAAAAACAATTATCTTTCGGAATGGTTTGTGATTTATGTCGGCGAGGTAAGCTCGTGTATTTTGCTATAAAATGCCCTTTGAACGAACGCTTTATATTGATCAGTAAACGAGTAGTGATGGCAGGAAGACAGGTGTTTTGGGATAAACAATTAGAAATTCTCAAAAAACTACTTGACCAATATACCCCAATTTTGTTATGGTTACTTAGAAGTATGAAGCCAACGGATTTGAAGAATTTCAAGTAGCTGCGCGAAATTATCGTCGCATTAGCAGCAAGTGCCAAAACCTGCATGTTGTCTCGGTTTTCAGTCATAACCTTTTTACTGTTAGTCGGATCTTTTTACGCGTGGTCTCATTCTGTAGGTCTCATAAATACCTAAAAATCTTATTTGAAGAGTTTTCTTTTTCTTTGTTGTCGAATAAACAGATTTACCCACCAAAATCGGTGTACCCATTTTACGCGTCCTTGGTTTAAATACCCCCTTGAACAACTTGCATCGATAAAACCAGGTTCTACAATTATTTCTAGGATATTAGCTAATATGATTAGACTGAAACGGGTGTCCAAGAACTGTGGTACTGGAGCCACAAAGTGCGGCGATGTACCATCTTGTTGGAAATGGTTGTAATTTTCATATTAATTAACATCATTTTCTATTATTTCGGTAATTCGAGGCTCTACTGTATTTTCTAACATGTCCAAGTAAGACCTTTATGAAAAGTGCTTTATATTTTTCTTATAATTTCGTTCGTTAGCATCAAAAGTATAGTATATATTTTCAACAAGCAGATAAAATTATAATTTTTGTAATTAGAAAGAAAAATAAACCGTGCCAAGGTTTAGTCTATCTAAGACCATGAGATAAGAACTTTTAATTTTGCGTGAGATAAGTCAGCGGTGTAGATCAGTCCTCTAATAATTTCTATGACGGGATTTATATTATAGCTTTGGAGATTAGTTACAAACTAAACATGCAGTCTTTTCTTTAAAAAATGTAAAGACAATGGAAATTGTTACAAAATATTTAGACGAATCCAGAGCCTGGTTTGGCGTTTTACTTTCGATGTCACTAAATGGAAAAATTATCCTTGATTTATTGGTCTCTCCCCGTTCCGCGTTGGATTTATGCTCCTTTATTCTTACTGAGAGTGCTATTTTTGTTTCTCCTATGTACTCATATTTAAAAGAAAATTAAAGGAATATTTCACGGACAATAAAAATTCTTAGAGATGCAAATTTGGTTTTTTTTCTGAATGTCTGTATCTTATGTAATTGTTTAGTTTTTTAGAAGAATGTAATTGTAGCAACCATGCTAAATAAACCTTAAACAACAACAAAAAATTTGACGCCTGACTTCCCATGGTTAATTATTTTGCTGCATAAGCTCGTCCTTTTTGCTCAATGGATTTACGATCTACTCACTTTCTATTATTGGAACGAATCGTGTATACCAGAGTTCCCCAAACTTTTTTGTGTCGTAGACCCCTTGCCATGTTTTTCCGTGTTGGGTAGACCCCCTACTTACCTGATATTGATTTCCTGTAAATTTCTAACTGTGGTGAAGTGTAGTAAAAACACATGTTAATTTATAAATTTATTAATTGAATTTAAATTAAAACTACTTAAAATAAAATTTTGTATCTGTTATGTAAAATATACGTAACATTAAATAAACAGGTATCTGAACAATAAGTGCCCGCATTGGGAATAAGTGCCCGCATTGAAAAAAAATAAGAGGGATAAAATAAAAAAAAAGTGAAAAATAATAAAAAAAAAAGTTTTTTACTTTACAATAAGCGAGTTCGTTTATTAATTATAACATAAACGTATGTTCTACAATAATTTCACTGTTAGTTTGATTAAATTCCGCTTCTTATACGTTTAAGTTATCTAAAAATAGGCAAAAAATTAACGAATTTTAGTGTGTACCTATCCTTGAATTTTCAGAATAATTTAAAAAAAATATATTTTCTATAAAGGGGGGTTCTTTAAAAAATCAATGCGGGCACTTATTCTCAATGCGGGCATTTATTGGTCAGACACCAATAAACATAAAATAAACTATAAATAAAATAACATAAGCAATAAGTCAATATTTTTAGTGAGAAGGATGAACCTGATGCTTTAATAATAAATTATCAACATTTGGCGTCAATTTTGTAAGGCTTAATCTTAAATCTCCTCGGCTAATGATGTCCAGTCTGTTTCTTTTTTTCGTTAGGAGATTGGTAACAGCGCTGAACCCCCATTCCACTAGGTATGACGATGGAAAGGAAATTAAAAATTTCCTCGCTATATTCCATAATACGGGATAAGTAACGGGTATGTTGTTTTGCAGCCAGAATTGCTGATATCCGTTTTTAAACTGAACCTTAAGTTCTTCGTTTGTACTTAGTTCAGTCAGTTCCTCTTGAATTATGACATTCGTTTCTTCTATGTTACCATATGGATTAATTATCCACGGTGGTATTACCATCGTCAAAATATCCTCAAACCTAGATTCAAAATCTGAATAGAGGGCATTTAAATGTTAAACGTGAGTTGAAACATAGTCTTCCTGGCAGCTTGTCTGTGACAAATTGGGGAACTGTGAAAATTCGCCCTCGTCCAATATTTTGCTTCATTAGTTTAACTCTGGCAAGAAACGCTGATAAGATGGACTTTGTTTTAATCAAATTTAAACTGTCGCATTGTAGTTGCAAATTAACCATATTAATTTTTGTAAACAAATCTGTTAAATAGGCGATGTCTGTTTTCCTCTTCATTAAATTTTCTTTTAAAATTTTATCTTTAGTATCCAGAAATTCTAAAATAGTATCACAAAGTGCAAAAAATCTTGTCAAACAAGCCTTTCGACAGCCAGCGTACTTCAGTGTGTAGGAGTAATTGATGTTCGTCATTTTCTTCACACAACTGCGCAAATAACCGCGTATTCAACGCGTTGCTTCGGATTCGGTTTACTGCATCAATGACTAAATGAAGTGATTCATGCAATCTAACACTCAAATTTTTAGCAACTAAATGTTGTCGATGGATGACGCAATGTATTGCTAACACCTCTGACACATTTTGTTTTAAATAGCTTATAAATCCACGATAACGTCCAACCATGGCAGGTGCTCCATCTGTAGCTACTGATATTATATTTGATAAAGGAATTGCTTTTTCAATGAAGTAATCCTTCAAAACATGAAATATTGATTCACCTTTAGTGTCGGTTATCAAAGTTCTTGCGAAGAGCAGTTCTTCGTAGATTTCTTGATTCATAATAAAACGAACATATGCCAATAATAATGCTGCATTATCAGGTAAAGTTGACTCGTCCAGTTGTATAGAGAAATGGGTTGTTTGCAAATAATTACATAAGAAGCTTTCAATATCAGAACTCGTTTCGTCAATACGTCTTTCAACAGTATTGTTGCTTAAGGGAATTCTTTTAATGATATCAGATGCAGGTTTGTGTAAAACAGTTTTTAAAACCTCTGCAACGGCTGGCAGAATTAACTTCTCTCCGATAGTATGCGGTTTTCCGGATTTTGCTATAAGTAACGAGATATTGTAAGACGCCCGCAAACCATCATCATTTCTTTGTGACGTCGAAGCGAACATTCTGTCCAGTGTTGGTCTCTTCTGAAATGTATCTTTGAGTGTTTGAAAGTATTTCAAATCTTTCTCTGTTTTTTCAGGGTGGCATCTTCTCAGATGATCTTGCAGTTTAGATGGTTTCATAGCGTCATTGCCCAAAACTTTGTTGCATAAAAGGCACATAGGCGATTGTTTGTCCGGCAATGATGGAATGAAACCAAATTTCAAATAATCAACACTGTACTGTCTACATTTCTTTTTAGATTCGGACATGGCATCAGTCATCTGTGGGCAAAATTAAATTATTTAAATAAGACAGAAAATCCAGCAGCTGTATATTAAAAATATTTTTTTGATTTTTCCGAAAACATTCCATAATTCGAACATCAATTCGAGATTGCACTGTAATTATATTACCCATTGCTAAAACTTTCAAAAAGAAACTATTGAGGAGTACTCATGTAATTTTGCATGATTGAATATTTAACTACTAATAACTAAAGTCATGATTGGCGTAATTTATCTATCTTTGCTAAGTACGAGTACAAAACTAAAATTTAATAAAAAATAATGTACTTACTTTTCTCCAGCACTCTCAAACAAAATAACACTAACTCACTATAATTTGTGTGATATACTATCTGTTTATATTTTTTAAAATATATTCTTAGCACTTTCCTTTTCAAGATTCAGGAAACGAATAAACGTATTTGTCCCACATTCGTATTTATAGAGTGACGAATTGAACAAGTCAGTGCAAGGTAGCGAAGCTCTGAGACTGCGACTCTCAGGTTTTTACAAGTTCAAAATGTATTGCGACCACAAAGCGAATACCAACATCCTACAACTTACACAATTTTATAAACATATATAATAATTTTTTTACTTCATAAATAATGTGTATGTTTTGATATTATAAGATAGTATGATGTAAGTAAATAGGTACTATCAGTGTATGTGTTGAGATCCACTATCGTGGAACCCATATTCATTTCATGGACCCCCAAATTTTTTTTCGCTGACGTCGACCCCTTGCAGGTTGTCATAGACCCCTAGACCACTTTGGGAATCAATGGTGTATACGAATGCCAACCCATCTTTCGCTACATAAAATGCCTTCTCAATAGAGGAACTTTTGCCTTCCAGGTGGGACATCGTTTGGTAAACACCTGGTACGAGACCTGGACTTGAAACGTCCCTGTACATGTCCAATCAGTCGTAAGCGATGTCACTGTTTCCGGCCGCACTCGAATCAAAGTTGGCTGTTCAGCAGATACACGACCGGCTGGAAATGCGGTTTGCATGCTGATTGGACAGAATTAACAAATTGCGTCGACGATAAGTTGGACGAGCTAGAGGGAGTGACCAAGAGACGGTATTTCTATGTGACATTACTGAGGGAGCCTATATCAAGGTAAGTCAAGTTGTTCGATTAGAAGACTGGCCTTCTATTTGAAATACGCTAATATGCACCAACGTGAATATGTGCAGCCAGGAGCTGCATTTCGTGCAAGCAATTTTGAATGTCGTATCTTTGCCGTTTTGGATATCTGAGCGTTGGGGTTAAGTCAACTTGAACCAACTAAAAGATATCATGTATGGTGTATCTCCATTAATAACGAATTATCTAATAAATCAGCCCTAAAAATGGGTCTACCCCAAGGCTCCATGTTCAGTCCTCGTTTATTCTCTGTACACATTTCGGATTTTCCAAAACATATAAAACACAGCAAAATTCATCACTATGCAGATGATACACAAATATACTGCAAGTTTGCTATTGACGATGTGATCTTTTAATCTAATTAATAACAATCTGGACAGACCACAATCGCAGGAGGAAAGAGACTGACCCGAAACACCTAACTTCATAAAGGAAGGTTCAACGAGTGGCCTTGAAGAAGATATGTTATATAGAAAACCAAGTAACGGAGAAAAACCACAGAGTTTTTTTAACACAATAGTGAATCACTGAGAAATAATGATATAATACGTGTTAAATTATACGATCAATAAACTGTGAAATTTACCAAAAGAAAATCATTGGAAAGGGTTTGGCACTCTACCATTAATAAAGAGAAATTCAAAGTGCTGTTAAGTGATCAAAATAGTAAAAAAAAGGTTACCTGATTTTGGCACGTGAGAACTTTATTAAAAATATAAATTATCTTCCCTACGCTTTGTAGTTTTTCCTATGATCTTTAAAATCCACTCAACTTGATGGCCCACCCTGTATTAGACAGTAATCTGCTATTGTGTGATGCTCTTATAATTTCAAGGGTTCCATACTGCGCAAGTGTATTTGGCTCAGCTATAATAAAAAATGATAAAGATAAGCTACAACGGCTACAAAATTCTTGTTACCGTTTTACTCTAGGTATACAAAAATTTGATCATATAAGACATGTGTACCAAGAGAATTGTAAAATGAAAATGGAGAATCTCAGAAAATTTTAGTGATTAAGAAACCAGAATATCTTTTAAATAAACTAGTGATCACAGTTGGACAGTGCTGCCCTTGGTAGGACATTTTTCTGATACAAAAATCAAGAAAATCGTGAATACTGTTAACTACAAAAAAACTTGAATGAGAACTTGCTGGCTGCTATTGGAATTTTGGTGAGAATATGGAAAAAATATATGACAACATAATAGGAAATATAAAACCTTGTTTAGAACTTGAAACTGATAAAAAAGTGATTTGCTGGACAAAAAATACACCCTGGTATAACAAAAATATTAAGGCAGCTCAAAATTTGAGAGACAAACAATACAAAAAATGTATATTCACAAAATCAAATGATGATTGGGAGGTATATAAAACTCTTAGGAATAAATGTTTGTATATAATTAGAGAAGAAAAAAGGAAATTATACGATAAACAAGTCGATTATAACAAGTGCGACAGTGTAAAGATGTCGAAAACTTTAAAAAGACTGATCAATTCGAAGCCGCATGATTGTGTAAATCAAGTTCAATTCGAAAACGGTACCGAAACAAATTCTCTGGTGATTGCAAACAAACTAAATGAATATTTTGTGGAAAGTATTGTTGATATTGTGGGTACTGTCAATGCTGCTCCTGACTATATGAAAATCAGTTTCCATATCGTATCATTGAACTATCTGAGAAAAAAAGTAAACAGTCTAAAATCAAAGAACAACTGTGCCCGAATCACTACTAAAAACGTGCTGAAAAACTGTTCCGAAATTTTGGGATATTCTGTATTAAATTGGATCAATTGTTCAGTGAGAAGCAGTTCTTTTCCTGAAAATTTGAAATGCTCTACAATAATACCAGTTCCCAAAATAAAAATTATAAAAGATGCGGCGATATGAGACCAGTAAATGTGTTACCAGACATTCAAAAATTAATAGAGTCCACCGTGCATGACCAATTAAATGTAGTTTATAGAAGAAAACAAAATTTCAGTGGAGGCGCAAGCTGGCTTTCGAAAAAAATATTCCGCAGAAAGGGCTTTCCAGTTGGTAACTGAGAATTGGAGAAGAGCCATACTCAGAAAAAGTTGTCATAGCAGTATTTTTGGATTTGAAGAGGGCATTTGAAACGATTGATAGAGATATTTTTTTAGGTAAATTGAAGGCATATGGTATAACAGGAAGTGTTTTAGATTGGCTTAGAAAATATTTGTCTAAAAGGATGCAAGTTACAAAAGTTAATGACACTATTTCATCAAAAATTGAAAATACGTTGGGTGTTCCACAGGGCAGTATCCTGGGACCACTTCTTTTTATTTTATATATAAATGATTTACCTACCATAGTCAAAAAATGCAAAATTCAGATTTTCGAGGATGACACTAGGATTTATATAAGTATTAAAAATATTCAGACTGGTATCTCTTATATAAATGAAGACTTGAAACGTATCTCAAAATGGTTAGCATCTAACAGACTCAAATTAAATACAAGTAAAACGAAAGCTATGTTAATCGAAAAAAAAACAATGTAAAAAAGTTCAACTGAATATTGATGGTGAAGATATTGAATTCATAGAAAATTTTAAATACTTGGGAGTTTTTGTTGACTCTCGATTAATTTTTGATATTCATTATGAAAAAGTTATAAATAAGATTCGTAGTAAAGTGGGATATTTATCAAGAGTTTCTGGATGTCTTAGTTCATATAGCAGAAAAATTATCTATAATACCATCATTCTTCCAAATTTCTTGTACTGTTCGACTATTCTATATTTAGCAAATAATTCCATTTTTGAAAGACTGCAAATTTTACAAAACAAGTGCATAAGAATAATACTGAATAAAGATAGTTATACTCCAATTAGACAAATGCTTAACAAATTAAAATGGCTTAATGTAAAAAATTTTTCAAATATCTTGCAATGAATTTACAAAATCATCAAATGCCGACCATCATTTACATAATACCAGATGAATAAAGATGACCTGCATTTAATGACCAAAAATTATAACATATGCTACAAATCTGTATTCCATCAAGGGTTGACTGAATATAATAAATTATACACAAAGATAAAAGACCAGAAAACTTTGACAAAATTTAAAGTAAAATTAAGGAATCACTTGCTAAATCTACAATTATAGCTTGCCCAGCATTTACATCATACATCATATGGCTTGAATTTACTAATTCTAGGTTGTTTACAATTATTCTGTTTGTGTAGCCAAATGTGCTAAATAAATCTTTCTAATACTAAAAAAAAAACTCGAGAAATTAGTTCGGAAATAAATTGGTCACGTACGATATCTTCATGTAGTTTTACAAAAAACATATAAATCTATAGTAATAGATCGCTGACCACTTTATTATTCATTTTTGAGCTGTTCAAAAAGGTGAATTTTATATTAGGATGTATTTGAGTTGAAAAATACCACCATGGTAACACTCTACCGATTCGATTCTCAAAATTTTAGTTACTTATCAATGCATATTGTTGTATGTTGTATATATTATGTAAAATAATCGAATAAAGGATACTTTTAACAATGTATTTACAACAAACAATTGTTAACAAAAAACAACGCAATCCAGAAAGCACAATTCTATCAGGTAACCAAATAAGTTCGTGCGGTTGCTGTATATCGCACATTGCCATGAATGTTACTGATCGATAACGATTGTTTGTTACCTGTTGTCACTTTAGTATGAATCCTTCTTTTCTCACACACATAAACAGCTGCTGAAAATTGTTACATACCTAGTTTGAATAATTGAAAATGGCGACGAATAAAACATTCGAAGTTGTTTACTGTATGAGTACAAACTTGGTACAAAAGCTGCAGCGGCGGCGCAAAAAGTATGTACCTCATTCGGAGATGATGCCGTTAGTGATCGAACAGCACAGAAGTGGTACAAAGCATTTTCTTCGGGAGATCTCAGTCTGTGCGATGAACAGCGCTCAGAGAGACCAAAAATCATGAACAACGAGGATCTTCGACAGGTTGTGGACGCAAATACCAGGACAACGTGCCAAGAACTTGCAGAAATGTTAAGAGTGAATCCTGAAACTATTCGTTTGCATCCTGTTCAGCTAGGAAAGACATCGAAGTTAAGCAAATGGGTCCCACATGAACTGACAAATGATAACAAATTAAGTCGTCTTACCATTTGTTCAGCAAACATTTCACGCAACGCTAATGAACCATTTCTTAATCGATTATTAACCTGCGACGAAAAATGGATCTTGTATTCGAATTCTAAGCGTTCGTATCATTGGTTGTCGCCTACTGATTCGATACCACACACGCCCAAGGCTTCCTTGCACCCAAACAAGGTTTTGTTGTGTGTTTGGTCTACAGCAACTGGAATTGTCCATTATGAGTTTTTGAAAAGGGGTCGAACCATCACTGCTAACCTGTATTGTGAGCAGCTTCAACGAGTACACGCAGCACTCATTAAAAAACAGCCTTCTTTGATCAATCGGAAGAAAGTGATATTCTTGCAGGATAACGCCAAGCCTCATACCGCAAAAGAGACCCGAGAACAAATTTCTAAACACGCCATATTCTCCCGATATTTCGCACAGTGATTATCACCTTTTTTGTCTCTTGACAACTGTACGAGGCACTGACAGTTCATAACTCGAGAAAAATTGGTTCCACGTTGGCAAAAGGTCATTGAATGTGATGGTAATTACTTTGACGAATAAATAGTATCTAATTGTTTCTCAATAAAAATTTATATTTTTCTTCTAAAAACCGCACGAAGTTATTTGGTTACCTGATACATAAAACAGAAGCAGTCAACCTCGGAACACAAATGCACACATGCATAAATCATCAATGTACAAAGTCTCCAGCATTGTTTGATTACAAGTATACTGGTCATATTATAGTTCAGACAGATCTGATCTGAATTTTCCATAAACTGGAAGTGCAATTCATTTTAGAATGAATTTTAGACTATCAGAAAAGTCGTTTATAATTATTACATAATTTCTAAAGCAGTCTACATTGGCTGTTTTCAGGTATCTGTCGGAATTTCGCCACGTGCAAAGAGGAGCTACGTGGAAAGGTTCCCGACATGTTTGTAAAGGAAGACCAGCAACTGAAAAGGAATTGCCACCGTGCTATGAGGGTGATAATTGGGGTGGAGTCGGGCTAGATGAATTTATTGCATGCAAAAGCAATTTAGCAGCCAATAGGCAGACCAGGATGTTGGCAGATCTTGAACTGATTGGTTAGTATAATGTTTACAGGGTGAATTTTACGTCGGGAAATGGTTAACCATCACCGATCGTTCAAGATCACGCGGTTGGAACAGTGGTCGGTGACTTGTCGACAACTGTGTCTGAGATCCGCCCGTGTGAATTTCCTCTATACAAGGTGTTTTAAAAGTTGAGTCACTTATTTTAACAGTTTGTAGAACTCATCAAAATCATCTATATAAAAGTTGCATAATAAGAGAGTTAGGGCCGATTTCACCAACATTATTATTATTATGGACCAATAGGAAAATACCTTATCGAAATGCAATTTGACGGAAGCTGTCAAAGGTCTCAGAATATCAGTGATTTCTATTAAAATGTTCAATAAAATCGTGAAAATTCGACTGTATTACAAACAAGATCACTTTTTGATTCCAACATGATGCTTCTGTACAGAAAAAACAGGACAACTTTCATGTATTTTGATATATGTTATAGGTTTACATTTAACAATCCGTTATCCCCTCAGCGAATGGGAATGGGAGAAATAATAGGTCGATTTTCTAGCTGTTAAATTTGGCAGCAGGTTTGGTCGTTTGTTGATTCATGGCAATCTCGAAATTTGTTAAGTTCAATATACTGTGTGTATATGTGATCATTATAGCTACACATACCTGTTGAATTGTGCGGATTTGCAAGAAAATAGAATATAAAATGTATTCCAACCAATTCCTCATCTCTCTTTACATCATAATAGTAATCATTTGTTATAAATTCATGGGTTAATGAATTTCTTCAAAGCAATCAAAACAGACGACAGTCCCCATCCTAAAACACCGATATGTGTAAAACATGTTAATCGCTACATCTCCGAGGTGCATAATGCAGTTACTGTAGACATAGACCTAAAATTATTAGTAATTACTGAAAAATAATGTCGGGTTCATGCACGACTTAACGTAACCGAATTTAAGGATCAGCTGTTTCTACACCAGTGTCCTCCACATGTTACGCCGCCAGATGGTAACTAGCTAGTGATTTCCAGTGGTGGTCTAACGGTTTGGTGACGTCACAGCCATTTTTTGACATGATTCGGGTGGTTTCGGAACTCGTCTTACCCTTGGATAGCCCTTTCTATACTGTTCTATGCTCGTATTGACGTAATTATAATAATTCTGTGGTGTCTCGTGTTCCACGACGATTTACGGTCAAAGCCAGGCGGTGAATCATCTGTTGTTTTGTTTGAGTTGTTGACGAATTTGCGATAGAGATTTGTTTTGGTGTTCGTCTTCGGGTGTGTTTTTCTGCCTTGGACTTGTTTTTTGTGCGATTAATTGAGGATGGCCATGTCTAGAGCAAAAAACACGAGAGCTGCGTTGGTATCAACTCCTGACCGTGGTGAAGAGGTACCTGCAGAAGGCACCTGAACGCAATAGGACATCGCCAGAGGGGCGCCTAATGATGACGTCGTGTACACGTTAAATCTGCACGAACCCCAAAATACGTGACTGATTATACACTGAAATTAAAACAAAAAACTGCAACTGCAATTGTATGTATGTATGTACATAGTCATGCCATAAGTTCTGTCCCTCGTTTTCAAACAAGTGTAGACCTGTTAATACTTGTCCGATTGTTTACATTGTGGTGTCAGTTGATTAAGCGCTTTTCGGGTAATTACATATACCTCAGTTTGTATTGATCTCTCGAAGCATAACGATGGAGTGGGGCAAGGCAGAGAACCGTATTGCAGTGATAGCTTTACATAAGTGTAATCACAGTGCTAGTCAGATTTTTGAACTCTTACGCGGCCTTCAAATATCGCGTAAATTTGTGTCTAGGACCATTCAGCGGTACAATGAGACGTCCTCTGTTGATGACAGGCCAAGAAGCGGAAGACCTCGTCAAGTAAGGACTCCAGCAGCCATCAAAGCCGTAAAAGCCAGGATTCAAAGGAATCCACTCCGGAAGCAGAAGATCCTATCCAGGGAAATGAAGATTCCTGTCCGGACGATGTCGCGCATCATTAAACAAGACCTAGGGCTAGGGGCTTACCGGAGACGTACGGGCCAGCGACTTACGGCCACCTTGCGACACATCAGGGCGACAAGATCCAAGAAGCTCTTGGAGAGGTACGCAGCTGGGGGATTCCGAAAGATTTTGTTCACGGATGAGAAAATCTTCACCATAGAAGAAAAATTCAACCGACAAAATGACAAAGTGTATGCAAGGAGTTCACAGGAAGCTTCGGAGATCATTCCGAGAGTTGAGAGAGGCCACCACCCTGCGTCAGTCATGGTTTGGTGGGGGGTGTTCTACGAAGGGGTCACTCAGCTCCATTTCTGTAAACAGGGCGTGAAAACAAAAGCGGCAAACTATCAGAACGACATACTGGATCCTATCGTCAAGCCTTTAAGTGGTACATTGTTTGCCAACCAACACTGGGTCTACCAGCAGGATTCCGCCCCCGCTCACAAGGCTAAGAGTACGCAGCGCTGGCTGGAAAGCAATGTGCCAGAGTTCATTGCTGCGGAAGATTGGCCCTCAGGGAGTCCGGACCTCAATCCTTTAGACTACAAGTTGTGGGACCTGCTAGAGCAGTTGGCCTGCTCCAAAGCCCACCGTAATATCGAGTCCCTGAAAGCGGATTTGATCCGATCAGCGGCAGCTATTCCTTTGGAAGCTGTGCGTGCAGTGATAGATGAGTGGCCCGCGAGATTGAAGCAGTGTGTGAAGGCCAAGGGGGGACGTTTTGAATAAAACTGTTTGATTATGAATTCTAAAAATGTTGTCGAATAAATAATATCTTTCATATAAATATATCTTATCTTGTTTCATTTTTATCATGAGATTATCATGGGACAGAACTTATGGCACGACTATGTATGTTGAAACTGTTGAACAGTTTCGGACCAGTGGGGTTAAAATAACGTTGAGGAACTGAAAAGAAGTGTATGAATGTGTTGAAATGCAACACCTAACAAAAATTTGAGTGAAAAGGCTTTTTCATGTAAGGGTTTGGAAGTGCAAGTTTGCAAATAAAGGATAAACTATAAGCACACAGTAGGTGATATAATCACATGTGGATTACAAAAGTTGCAGTAAACATGGAAAAACCTTCAGCTAATCTGAAAAAATAGATTTTACTCAGACATCAAGCATTTTTCAAAATTTTGGCTCATAATTTCATAATATTTAATAAACTGAAAACATTTCAATGGCAAGCTGTCACTTCATATTTTACAGTGTTTTGTGTTGAATACTTTGATGCTATTTGCTGGCAAAAATTTGACGGAGAGATCTTGAGGCTGATTGGGTATATTTAACGGACTGTTTGGTACTCGTACCCTATTGGTGCAGAATAATGGTTTGTTAAATTGTGAAATCCACCCTTAGTTTACATTATTGAATTTTATTTAAAAAAAATCATTATTAAGTTAAATGGATTCCGTATTTACAAAAACTGTTCAAAATTGTCCCCATTTGTTCGATCAACGCAAAATCTTACTCGGCGAATCCACGACTCTTTACAAGTTTCGAAAATAAAATCTTGGTGTCCTCGAATTAAGTCACAAGCATTTTCCAGAGTTCTTCCAGAGGATTTAGTGCTGCATAATTATACACCAACTCTTTCAGTTAGCCCCACAGAAAAAAATCGCAAGGCATTAAATCCGGGGAGCTAGCAGGTTAAGAAATGGGTCCATTCCGCCCTATCCATCTATCCGGAAACTCATTATTTAGATCAGAGTTCCCTAAACTTTTTTGTGTCGTAGACCACTTGCCATGTTTTTCCGTGTTGGGTAGACCCCCTACTTACCTGATATTGATTTCCTCTAAATTTCTAACTGTAGTGAAGTTCATCTTAAATCTCCTCGGCTAATGATGTCCAGTCTGTTTCTTTTTTTCGTTAGGAGATGGTAACAGCGCTGAACCCCCTTTCCACTAGGTATGACGATGGAAAGGAAATTAAAAATTTCCTCCCTATATTCCATAATACGGGATAAGTAACGGGTCTGTTGTTTTGCAGCCAGAATTGCTGATATCCGTTTTTAAACTGAACCTTAAGTTCTTCGTTTGTACTTAGTTCAGTCAGTTCCTCGTGTATTATGACATTCGTTTCTTCTATGTCACCATAAGGATTAATTATCCACGGTGGTATTACCATAGTCAAAATATCCTCAAACCTAGATTCAAAATCTGAATAGAGGGCATTTAAATGTTGAACGTAAGTTGAAACGTCGTCTTCCTGGAAGCTTGTCTGTGACAAATTGGGGAACTGAGAAAATTGTTCGTCATTTTCTTCACACAACTGCGCAAATTAATAACCGCGTATTCAACGCGTTGCTTCGGATTCGGTTTACTGCATCAATTAGTAAATGAAGTGGTTCATGCAATCTAACACTCAAATTTTTAGCAACTAAATGTTGTCGATGGATGACGCAATGTATTGCTAACACCCCTGACACATTTTATTTTAAATAGCTTATAAATCCACGATAACGTCCAACCATGGCAGGTGCTCCATCTGTAGCTACTGATATTATATTTGATAAAGGAATTGCTTTTTCAATGAAGTAATCCTTCAAAACATGAACTATTTATTCACCTTTAGTGTCGGTTATCAAAGTTCTTGCGAAGAGCAGTTCTTCGTAGATTTCTTGATTCATAATAAAACGAACATATGCCAATAATAATGCTGCATTATCAGGTACAGTTGACTCGTCCAGTTGTATAGAGAAATGGGTCGTTTGCAAATAATTACATAAGAAGCTTTCAATATCAGAACTCATTTCATCAATACGTCTTTCAACAGTATTGTTGCTTAAGGGAATTCTTTTAATGATATCAGATGCAGGTTTGTGTAAAACAGTTTTTAAAACCTCTTCAACGGCTGGCAAAATTAACTTCTCTCCGATAGTATGCGGTTTTCCGGATTTTGCTATAAGTAACGAGATATTGTAAGACGCCCGCAAACCATCATCATTTCTTTGTGACGTCGAAGCGAACATTCTGTCCAGTATAGGTCTTTTCTGAAATTTATCTTTGAGTGTTTGAAAGTATTTCAAATCTTTCTCTGTTTTATCAGGGTGGCATCTTCTCAGATGATCTTGCAGTTTAGATGGTTTCATAGCGTCATTGCCCAAAACTTTGTTGCATAAAAGGCACATAGGCGATTGTTTGTCCGGCAATGATGGAATGAAGCCAAATTTCAAATAATCAACACTGTACTGCTGTCTACATTTCTTTTTAGATTCGGACATGGCATCAGTCATCTGTGGGTAAAATTAAATTATTTAAATAAGACAGAAAATCCAGCAGCTGTATATTAAAAATATTTTTTGATTTTTCCGAAAACATTACATAATTCGAACATCTTCTTGCAACAATTAGCTCGAATTACGGAGATTGCACTGTAATTATATTACCGATTGCTAAAACTTTCAAAAAGAAACTATTGAGGAGTACTCGTGTAATTTTGCATGATTGAATATTTAACTACTAATAACTAAAGTCATGATTGGCGTAATTTATCTATCTTTGCTAACTACGAGTTCAAAACTAAAATTTAATAAAAAATAATGTACTTACTTTTCTCCAGCACTCTCAAACAAAATAACACTGACTCACTATAATTTGTGTGATATACTATCTGTTTATATTTTTTAAAATATTTTCTTAGCACTTTCCTTTTCAAGATTCAGGAAACGAATAAACATATTTGTCCCACATTCGTATTTATAGAGTGACGAATTGAATAAGTCAGTGCAAGGTAGCGAAGCTCTGAGACTACGACTCTCAGGTTTTTACAAGTTCAAAATGTATTGCGACCACAAAACGAATACCAACATCCTACAACTTACACAATTTTATAAACATATACTTATAATAAATTTTTTACTTCATAGGTACTTTTATAAATAATGTATATGTTTTGATATTATAAGATAATATGATGTAAGTAAATAGGTACTATCAGTGTATGTGTTGAGATCCACTATCGTGGACCCCCATATTCATTTCATGGACCCCCAAATTTTTGTTCGCTGACGTAGACCCCTTGCAGGTTGTCATAGACCACTAGGGGTCGATATAGACTACGTTGGGAATCAATGATTTAGATGTTCAGTGTCTAAAATGTGGTGGAGCCCCATGTAGGAACCACATATTCTGTCTCACATTTAGAGGAACATCTAATCAGTCAAGGTGGAGTAGAGTCCAATAAGCATGCCAAACATTCCCAGCCCAAACATTCAATGAAAATATAAGTTGAAAATGAGTTCTTTTTACAGCACACGGATTTTCTACTGTCCAAACATGACTGTTGTGGAAATTGTGCGCTCCATTTCGTGTGAATGTGGCCTCGTCTGGAAACAAAATTAATTTCGTAAAATCTTCATTTCTGCCGAACTGTTCAGGTTGTAACGCTTGCACCCGTTTATAATGTTCTTGTCGTATTGTCTTCTAGCGTGACCTCCTCGTTCTTCTTTTAAATATTCTGTGTCACAAATAACTAAATTCACAAACATCCGTGAGGCCGGATGATCTCTTAAAGGAAACCTTTAGACATACAACCTGCATGTATGTATTTTGATTATTCATAAAGTGGTTTTTTAATTTCACCTTAAACATTTTTAAATTCGAACTTTGTTTAATATCATTATTCAATGTATTAAATTCAAATACTCCCTTTTGAAATATAGATTTACTAGTTATGCTACTATTACAATTTTGCAGATGAAAATCTATACTGCCTCTAGTTTCGTAGTTATGATAATGACTATTTAATTTTGTGAAGTTCTCTAAATGTGGTGGTAATAAATGATTTTTTAATTTGAATATGAAAACGAGAACTAAATAATATATGAAATTTTTCACATCCAACCACTGCAGTTTTTCTAACATAGACTTAATCCTAGTATATTTGTTTTTATTTAAAATGATTCTCATTTGCTGTAAACAAGTTGGTTGAACAATATAAAAAATGGGGAAGAATTATCGTGTTATACTCATTTTTTTTTGGAATACATACTAAGATTATGGGAAACTCTATAGAAGTAATTTGTCTTTTTCGATATTTTTGAAATAATGTATTCATAATGTTCGTGAAACAGTAGCTTTTATTATCCACATATATACCCAGATATTTAAATTACTCAACTACTTCCATTTTTTCATCATTAATCATGAGCCTAATTGTATTGACACCTAAATATTTTCCTATTCCCCGAACATAAATTTTGTTTTATTAGTGTTTAATTTAAGTTTATTGACATTTAACCAATTCATAATTTTTTTAATATCACTATTTAACAGTTCTAAAGCAGTGTCCAAATGGTTATATGCTGTATAGATTAGTGTATCGTCCGCAAATATTTGAATTTTGCAGTGTTCTAAAATGTCAGAGAAATCATTTATATAAATAATAAATAGTAACGGCCCTAATTTACTCCCCTGTGGCACCCCTACTGATATATTTTGAACACTTGAGATAATATTTCCAACTTTAGTTTTTTGATTTCTATTTACTAAATAATTTTGTGTAACACTGATCCTTTAAAGCCATAGTCTCAAATGCCACTTTGAAGTCTAAAAATATTGTTACAATATATTCTTTCCCATCTATACTTGAGAGTCTTCCGCCACCATGTGGATTGCCGTTTCTGTGGAACATTTTTTTTTAAATCCAGCTTGATTTTATATCAAAATTTTGGTTTCTTCATGAATTCTATAATTTGTTGGTATTTTGCTTACAGGCTGTTACGACCAAAATTACATGCCAAAACAGGAGCGGGATCGAATCATGCTTGCAAGCGCGAAGAAAAACCTCCAATCCATGGCTTACTTCGGCCTCACAGAATATCAGAAGATCTCTCAATATATATTCGAAGAGACCTTCAATCTCCGTTTCGCCATTCCATTCGAACAAAACAACTCAACAATCTCAGGTTCCACCATCACGACTCTGACACCCGAACAAACCAAACAGATCGCGGAGTTGAACGGTCTCGACATCGAACTGTACACGTTCGCGAAGAAGTTGCTGTTCGACAGGTTCGAAAGGTTAAAAGCTAAAGACGTTAACTTCGCGGAAAGGTTCAAACATTTAGGCGAGTTGTACATAGGAAACGGACCGACGGATTTCGATTGGGATAAGCTCGATGACTCGACGGATACTTACGATTGAGGATAGCGTAGGTGTACCGAATATTCTCCGCATTCGCTGTGCCGAATACTAAATATTTGGTAGAGCGGCATAGCACAGGTGGCCTACTTAGAAAAACGAACGATATTGCAGTAGAATTGGCAATCTATTATAAAACTGCTCGCACACCAAAAATGACAATATTTTTATTCATCCGTTTGCTCAGCTTGCAGTGATCATTACAGAGTGCTCTGAAAGTTACGACTTTTCAGTAAAAATTACGATTGAAATAACAAAGCTAATATGCGACGAAAGGCTGCAAAAAAAAGAAAATTAAATTGTATATTAATATAATATTGTTCAAAGTTCAATTTAAGAACTCAATTATTAACTCCCTCCCCAATTTGCAATACTCAGAAGTCTAGATCTACTGTTCCCACCTCGACGTTCCTGCAAACAAACGGCGTCCATCGGCCTTTGTACGAAATAAATACGCCTACGCGGCGCGGGATGGAAACGTACAGGAAAATGATGTGAAAGTGGAAAGTTCGTTATTGCTATAGAAATGTGCCATCATTTTGTTCTCAAATACAATTTGTGTCTGTTATCTCAAGACTTCAAGAACACCCTGTAGAAGCTCAAAAAAAAGGGGACAAAAAACTACATAATGCTTTCAGATGCAGAAAAGCTACTTTCTTTGCGCCCCAAGTTACCATTGTATCAACTACAATATCTGAAGTAATCAATATTGAGTATATACAGGGTGGCCGATAACTGACTGGTTTGTATCTTGAATATTTGTGAAATGAAATAAAATACGTCCATTTTTTTCATCGAAACTTAGAAACTATGTATGCAAAATAATATCAGACAAATGTCTGCCTCTAGAAGCCGCGCAAATCTGAGCCCTCTTGATTACATTTTCCATCATTTTTTGGTAGGTCTCAGGAGGAATATTTTCAATCGCTTCCGTAATAATGTTCTCCAGCTGCTATACAGTATTCGATTTGTTGGCATAAGCCCTATTTTTCAAAAATCCCCATAAAAAAAGTCAGGAGCCGTTAAACCCGGTGACCTTGGTGGCCAGTTGACATTACCAAATAGAGAAATTAAACGCCCCGGAAATATTGTTCGAAAACGATTCATTGCTTCCCTAGCTGTGTGACAAGTTGCTCCGTCCCGCTGGAACCACATGTTTTGCAGGTCAAATTGTTGGATTTGAGGAGCCAGAAAATTTTGCACCATATTACGAGAATTACCTGCCGCGTCTTAAAAGAAGTAAGGTCCAATGACACATCCATACCAAACACCGCACCAAACTATGACTCGATGAGGATGGAGTGGTCGTTGGTGGCTGTCACGTGGCTTCTCTAATGTCCAGATACGACAAAAATCGTTATTTTGGGTGTTAAGCTGGAATTTTGCATGACTGTATTGTCGGCGACTTTCATGGTCACTAGGTTGTAGTTCTTGGGTTAACTGAATTTTGTATGGCCGCAAATACGTCTTTTTTAAATAGTGCATAATGACGTGCGATGAATATCCATTTCTTGAGAACGATGTCTGGTAGACGTCTCAGGGCGCCCCACTACACTTTGACGAACTCTCCCGATATTTTCCAGAGTACGAACAGTTCGAACACGGCCCGACCTTGGCAAGTCTTCGTCTTAACCTGTCTGTTAAAATTTCCACACCAGCTGACGTATGTTGTTGACACTGGGCACATTATTTCGACCGAAATCTTGTAGTAGCTTCCGAATCGTGCAACAATCGACTCTTTATTTAAGTAAAACGCGTTGTGGGATCGTGTAGCGCTCCATGATGAAATGGACTCATGTGCTTTACGGCGCCACCTACTGAAATGCGTGTATCAAAAATGGCGCGCGATTTAAATCAGTCAGTTATATATTGGCCACACTGAATTTGCATTTAAACTGTGTTCATTTACTTTGTTGCTGTCAGATGATTGACTATAAAACTAACATAAGCTAAAGGGAAGAAAAAATTGAATATTTTTAAATTAATACATAAAAATATGATACCAAAAATGCTGAAACAGTTAAGAAAGGTTGAACCAATTCTTACGACAAGTGCCATTTGTTTTCCTACACTGGAGGAAAAGTACAAATTGCTGCAATGGAATTTCTTTCCATTTATTTAAAAAATATCCTTTTTTATCCCATTGCGTTTCGTTATTTGATTGTAATGTGTTTATTGTTCAAATCGATCAAAAAAGCAAAACTTTCCTTCCTTGTTTATTAAACTTTTATACTAAACTGTCATATTAAGAACTCGCATTAGTTATATAACCGGCAGCGTAAAAAGTAAAAACTTATATAATTTTAAAAGAAACTGACAAAATGTCAAGTTGCTGACTAGAGAGCTGCTGGTCTGCAAATAGTTTCCGCTATTGTTCGCTGTGAGCGTCACCTATGGAGGAATGACTCAACGACCATGCTGCAAATCAGTTCGCTAGCAAGCTTTGTTGGTTGTCGAATGCCGGGGTAGCTTATAGAGTATACCTATGAGAAAATGTGACAGAAAATTGGTTGAGTAGCAAGTTCATATATGGATGACTGTGTGTATTGGTCTGCATCTGTCTAAAATCAGTGATATGTGAGAAAACTATTACTGAATATGCTGCCCATGAAGTATTTCTATTAGCTCTACCTGCCTGGTTATTTGTGTTTCCTTTCTGAAGAGACGTTATGATCAAAGTTATAAATTACGGATTTTTGCGTTTTCAAAAAGTTTGAGAAGCATTACGGAAAATCACCACCGCGCTCGCGTCGGGTGTAATTCAGCCACATCACAGAAAAATTATGAATGATACACACAAAACATTTTCGCAGTGCCACACGTCTATGCGCTGATTTGTATTTTCTACTTGACGTCAGAAAATAAATTTCTATTAAATGTATGTATGTACATATGTTTGAAGCATACATCTCAAGTAAGTGTATGTAGACAAGAAACCAAGGGATTTATCATCAACACAGAGTATTAGCACACAAATGTTCAATAAGCACATATGCAGTGCCGTTTCAACCATTTCCTTCCAGCTGCAGTATACAACTTACAGCTTAGAACTCCAATAAAGCAGACATTACATCAGATCAGAGCCAAACAAAGATAGTTGAAGAATCATGACATTTATAATATCACAAAAACCTATATAATACCAAAAAACTGTCATAATGTCACTTTTCAAGATCCGTCTTTCATTCGCAAATTATCCTTAATGTTGAGTAATTCTAAAATGATGTATCAACGCAGATTCATCGGACTCAAGTATTGTCCTGTTTATTTCGTGACGCTCATCTTTTATGTCGTTTATCACCATTAACAACCTGTGTCACAAGCAGGATAGCTTATATGTTGAGATTTAACTACAATGCTGTAGTTAACTCATAAGCGTGCATTCGGGTAACTTAAGGCGGCACCAGGGGCGGCTGGCCCTTAAGTTCTGCAGACCTGCAGAACTGCCAAAACTTTTGTCTTAACAGAAAAAATCAGTAGTAATTTGATCATTATTTATTGTCCATGTTATCAGATAAATAGAAACAATACCGGCAACGCTGCCCCCGCAAGACACGGCGTCGAGTCTGTTTTGTACTGAGGAGGCATTATAATCGACCAATTGTGTACTTGTCATTTTTGTCGCGACCGCAGCGTTACATTATTCATGGGCCACTTGAAAAGGGTCTGTGCACTACTTCGACACAAGCCGCACGCGCTTACTTTTGCCTCTCTACAAAATCAAATGCGCGATTTAAGCATAAGCATATGCTGCAAGTTATACAGATCCGTACAGATCTAATGCGAAGTACGATATCTGATTGGTCGGTCGGTGCTCGGTCCTAGGCGGTATTGGCATATTGGGCTTGTCGCGTAACGTGGCTAAAAATTTTAATGCGAAAATTTTTTTATTTAGGTATTTTGGGTCTTACGTTGAGTGACTAGTGACTCACTGACTGACTGTGGCTGTGTAGAAGGGTAGTGCAAGACAGTGGATGTAGTTTACAGACTTATCAGCGTGAAACGACTATGGAAATATACATTTTAAGAAAAAAATGAGCTGAAGGTGTTAGGTCGAACGCTGCCGAACATATTTATAGAAACACAGGGCGTTAGTCGAGGCAAGGGCTATACGCGGCATTTCAGCAGGGAGATTTACACCAGAAATGACTGGATTTGTGGGTGCAACAGGAAGAATGTCCTTTTCTGCTTTCCTTGCATACTTTTAGGCGGTGACAAAGCTTGGACGGAGGTAGATGTTACAGATTTAGTGCACCTGAGTGAAAAAATTAAGAAGCATGAAAACTCTAAAACACATCTTCATAATTCGATGGAATTGGCTTTATTGGGGACTGTTAACATCAGAGCTCAGTTAGATTCAGCTTATTGGAGAAATACAGCATAATGATACTGTTACAAAAAACAGGTACGTTCTATCAAAAATAATCGATTGTATAAAATTTTGCGGAGACCGAGAGCTCCCAAAACCCGGGAATATTTCGTGGACTGATTAATTTTTCTGCTGAGCTTGATACAACCTTAAGCGATCACATAAAAAATGCTTCAATATTTAAAGGAACTTCGAAAGAAATACAAAACGATCTACTGGATTGTATTCTTGAAGTTTGTCATGAAGAAACAATAAAACAGATTAACAGAGCCTCGTATTCGGCGATAATAGCAGATGAAACAACGGACATTTCGGGAAAAACCCAATTGGTAACAATTTTCAGATACCTATTTAACGGCGAACCAGTAGAACGTTTTTGGAATTATATGAATCCCGAAAAATGTGACGCTGATACTCTCACAAGACATATTTTGAGCGTCGTAGATCCATTAATAGGAACTTTCCCTAACAAACTGATTTCACAAAGCTATGATGGAGCCGCGGTAATGAGCGAACATAATGCTGGAATACAGGCAAAAATTAAACAAAGATACCCATTTGCTCACTATGTGCATTGCTATGCGCATCAGTTAAACCTGATTATGTCCTAAGCTGCTTCCACAAATGCTGAAGTTCGGGTGTTCTTTGGGGATTTGAAAGATATTCCGGGATTTTTTAATAATTCTCCTCAACGCGTAGAGGTACTGAACAGAATTGTGGGGAAAAAATTCCCCAAGGAGCAACAACTCGTTGGAATTTTAATATTCGAACAATAAATGTAGTGTTTGAGAACAGAGAATCACTCATTGAATGCATGGAAGAAATAGAAGAAAATTTCACTAATGAAACCGTTTTCAAGGCAGCTTGCGGTATTCGCCGGATGTTAAACGATTCTGTTGACAATTTTTTCATCATGTCATGCCTCACGACATCTTGTTCAACCAGTTGCAGAAGAGAAAAACCGAGCCAGCGCAAGTTAAAACGGCTATCGATAATTTTGAAAAATGTATTGTCGATGTGAGAAATAAAATTGATGACATAATAAATGAAGCCAAAAGTATTTGCACTGAACCCCAAGACAACACTGGAGAATACTGTGACAAGTTGGAAACTACCTGCTTGGCTTATCCCGAATTAGAAAAAAGTCGTTTAAAGACAGAGTTGTCTGTTATTTATGCACGGAATGATTGCCGAGATTTACATGGAACTCTGTCTCTTTTAAAATTTTTGATACAACAACACCAAAAGAAACAAAAAAGCTATTAAAAATTATTGTTACAACTCCTATGTCAACATCAGAAGCTGAGCGAAATTTCTCAACATTGAAAAGAATCAAGACCTTTCTTCGAAATACTATGACTCAGGATCGCCTTACAGCGTTGTCGATGTTGTCCATTGAAAAGGAATTTATTTCGACCATGGAAAATTTCAACGGGAATGTGATCGACAAATTTGCTGCCAAGAAGCAGCGCAGGATCGAACTGACAAATAAAAAATGGGTAAGTTTGGATCTGCAGAACACCTGTTTTATTTTGCCACGAGCCGCGACTGGGCGGCACCTTTATGACGTAAAAGTAACATCAGTTATGTCCAATTTTGCTGCCGCTAGGCGGCGCTAGATGGTTCGAGGTCAAACGAACAAACCGTGTTGTATTGCGGTTTCGACAGCTCTGTTGCTCATGCATGATTTGGTTTAAATCGGAGAATTATTTAAAAAAAAACACGGACTTGATAGAATGAAACTAACCAAATGACATCTGACGTGTCGGCGAACCTAACCAGCGCAATCAACTCCTAGGTTTCCATATTCACTCGCGATCGCAAAATTCTTACTACGTACCAATGACTTGCACAAGCTTTTTCGGACAGAGGAAAGCTTTCATAACCACTGCCAGGTAAAAAAGCTCGACAGTATTGCCCTGTCGGCCTTTTCTGCACAATGTGTGTCGTTCCCATTAGGGTAATGCTTGCAGCATTTCTGCATAATCAGTAGCGTTGCGCTAGCTTTTCATACCGAAGGTATTAGTCATATATTCTCTATAGTACAAATACATAAATTTATACCTATGCCATTGACTGCACTATACTCCACTCCGCTCTGCTCTGGTGTAATCTGTCCTCTGCCTCCACCTCCCGGCCGCCGAGTTATATATATCCCCCATTGGTCTGGTGAACCACAAAGCGGCATCTAGAATATTGGAGGTCACTTCGCGTCGATCTAGAAGGTGAGTGACTGCCACGGTCCTCACAGACGCCACCAAGCGGCTTGTGCGGTCGTGGTTCGCGTAAAAGCGAGATCGGCCATGAAGCTCTGGCGAGTAGGAGACTCGCCCAGCAGATGGCGCAACAGTACTATTTGTCACAATACAGATATTTAGAACAACAAAACTAGGTAGTAGTAGAAGACATATATTTTCTTCAATATATAAGAATAGTAATAAAAACCTAGAATGGGTAAATAAATGTTTCAATCCCCTTAAGGATAATGCCTGCACATGGATCAGTTGTATGTTGCGATCTTAATACTCATCCATATTTTCTCCGTCACATTTTGTTCAGAAATATACTATGTAGGCTGCTTGCGACCCACAAACTATGCTAGAGAAATGTAGCAGCTTAGGGAAAAGACGGTCGTTGTGCCATTCTTCTATAAGTGGAGTTCATCGCGAGTAGCGTGAGGTATCCGACTAGCTGGTACTTTGTGATAATTATGGCCATCAGATCGCTATCATATCGATTATTTTACAAAATCCGGTTGCCGTTTCTCAGAACATAAAGTTACTAAAGTGCATTCAATATGAACAAATCAGTAATCGTAACCATAGCGCTACTGATCGCTCTATGGTCCTATTCCGTTTCCTATACTTCCAACTAGAGCCGTTGGCTTAAAGCAACTTGTCTTGGGATTGACCATGATTTTCATATAAACATTGTAACTAATACTTTTATTTCTACTAGAAATATTTACTTTAGGTGCCATACTAATCAAAATAAGCAAAAGGTGTATATGCAAAAGATCCCGCAGAAACCTTATGAGGAATGACTTTTGGATGATTTTTTTAAAACTTATATATCTTCAGGGGCGAAATGAGAGCCCCCCCCCAGACGTAACGCACACCCCGCTCTTCAATTGTTACATTAGCTGTCAGAAGCGCTGGTTAAGTGCTTAAGGATGCAGACGCCGCCACCTCCCCTCGCTCTTCAATTTTTAATCGCCGGTAACCCATCCTGTAGATGGATAGAAATACAGCAGACGCTCGATAATGTAAACTAATTCAAGTGTGGTTCACATTATCGAAATGTTTACATTAGCGAACGTGATTTATATAATATTTGATTCATTAAAAGAAACGTTTAATACATACTATTTATAACAAAATAAACAAATATTCTAACAGCGATAAGTATTTTTTTAATTAGAAGAAAAATAATTAACAATTTTTGTCTGCGTAAATTTGCGCTTAGCATTGTCTTCCAATGCCTGCGCCCGTAATTTACGAAGAACTAAAATATCCGTGTATAAAACTTCTTTTCTTTCAGCCCAATCTAAAGCTTGGTTAAAAACTTGTATAGCTTGCGCGTCAGTCACTACACTTCTGACTTCAATGGGATCGTTCTCATCATCCTCACTGTCCATATCATCCTCCTTATCAGCATCATTCGTCTGCTTATCTTCGTTCCATAAATTAATATCAGCAGGAGTACAAACAATGTTGGGATTCACTGTTTTCAATAAATCAACAACATCCAATGACAAAATAGATTGTTCCACCATTTTTGAATAGTTTGCTGGTTAAGTTCATTCCAGGCCATATGTAAATCTGAAACAGCTTCTCGTAATGTTACTTTTTTTAAAGCCTCAGATAAGTTTTCAGGATTCTTTGATAAGACAGACGAAAGTAGAAACTTCATATAGTATAGTTTGGTGAGTCATATTATATTCTGGTCCATCGGTTGAATTAACGGTGTTACGTTGGGCGGCATGTACATGACGAAGATTGACCCATCCCTGCTCCTCAGTTGTTGCTCGGGAGGATGACTTGGTGCATTATCCAATAGTAACAACGCTTTTATTGGAAGCTTCTGTTGTTTTAGGAAACCTTTTACCTACAAATTGAAAACACATCTTCAAATTATGAACAGAGCATTTGTGATAATTGATTCTCATACCTGAGGGACAAAGCACCTGTGGAACCATTTCAGGAATATACTGCTAGTCATCCAAGCGGTTTTTGAACAGTCATAATCAACAGGGATATTAATATTTTTAAATGAGCGCGGATTTTTTGCTTTCCCAATTACCAGTGGCTTTATTTTGTGTGAAGCATTAGTGCAGGCTAGAAACGTTATCTCTGGTAACATTTTCCAATAAAGGCCACTTTCATCTGCGTTGTAAATTTGTTCCATTCTTAAATCTAGGTCGGTAATTGTTTTCATCAATTTTTCTTTGAATGGTTGCACTAATTGTGGTTGTGCTGATAATTTTTCACCAGATATAGACAGGTGTCGAATTCCATATCTTGTTTTGAATCGTTGTAGCCAGCCATCACTAGCTACGAAATTTTCAGTTTCTTTCAGTTTTTCATTTAACAGTCTCGCTCTCTGTTTAAGTACTTCGCCACTAGCTGGGACATGATTTTCCCGTTGTTTTAAAAACCACTTATACAGGGAATTTTCCATTTTAGGTGCCTTCGCAGTTTTTAATGTTTTTCTTTTTCCCGGACCTCCAAATGTATTGCACGTTCTTTGTAAAATTTGAGTTTTCATACGCTTAATTTTACAGATTGTTGCTTTCGATACTCCATATTTTTTTGCTAACTGTGTCACTCCCGCACCTAGTGCAACTTCGTCTATGATTTTCAGTTTCTCACTCAACTTTAAACACTTTCTTTTATAGGATGTGGATGCCATAGTCTTAAAATATAGTAACGCGTGCAATGTATTCACTTAAGTTCAAAAATGAAATACATACGTACGTATAAACGTATCCTAAACGATCATACGACTGACCGAGTTTGTCGTATTTTATCGCAGAGGTGAATCCCCTACACTCTACATCATAAATCGGGGACTCCCCGACGCCCGACATAAATCATCGAGGCTTCAGCATTTTACCGTCGCGCTGTTTCCGTGCGCCGAGAGTTGTTTACGTTATCGAGCGTACACATTGTTTACGTTATCGCACGTTCCGTTTGATCCTATAGAACGAAGCTTGTGTTTACATTAGCGCAAGTTTTCATTATCCCGTGTTTACGTTATCGAGCGTCTGCCGTACAATCTTGCTGAGTCGGACGGTAGAGATGATGAAACGAGCGTAAATAAATATCGAACAGCTATTTCATTTTAGTGTACCAAACACACAAAGTGTTGTAATTATGTCCGGAGTGACCAACTCCGGAAACTCTCTTGGAAAAACTTTTGGCCGCAAGCCACTCCCATAAGGTTTCTGCAGGGTATCTTTTTCGGAAACGAAGTTTTATGTCAATAATATAGCCTAAGAATAAATATAGTTGTATATGGATGAATAATTCGATTTATTGTACTTTAGGTTTTTCTTAGAATACTCATTGAAAAAAAAACAAATAGGACATAGTAATATTTGTATTTTGTACTTCCGGTACTGTAACCATAATTGTGATATTTTATTGTCTTATCATTTCGCAAAAAGAAAATGATTTAAAATCTGTTTTAGACATCCTCATCGAACATGATTTAATAGGTATTAGTGATTTCCAAACAAATGTTATTCTGGTAGTGATTCAGTCAGGAGCAAAAATGTCTCTATGTCTCATGATCTTCCGATACAATGTTCCCGTAGTATCGCGCGCTTTGAAGGAGTGCTTTAATTCTCATCTTCGCGTATTTTATAAAAGCAAGTTAAAACGGTTTAAATAGTACGTTTGTATTTGGACACTACCAAAATAATTGCTTTTCATGGAATTTGTATTTGCGTATGTTTCAATCAACGAATTCGAATAGATTAGAAGCCAGGTCTATTAGTTTACATTGTATTGTGTGTCGCCAAAATTGCGAAGATTTAGTGCATACTTTTGACTCATTTGTCTACCAAACATGTACATTCATTAAACTTGTGCCGCTCTTTGCAATTTATGTAAGAAGTTGCATATCTTGAAATCGACACAATTATTTGCAAACACTCGCACTTTTATGAAATAACACTATACTATCGGGGACCTGGGTTGGCCGCGTGGGTCAGAGTGTCGTGCTACTGATCAGCCGGCCGGCCGGGCCGCGAGTTCGAATCTCGCCTTCGCCATGGATGTTGTGTGTTTGTTTTAGGCAGCAGCGGTGGCCGCAGTAGTAGACTCTTCGGTCTCCTGATCAGCCGCCGTGCGCTGTGCGGGTTCGAGTCCCGTCCCAGAGAAATTTCTCTCTTGGCTATGGATGTTGTGATTGTCCGTAGGTGGTAGATGGTCTCTGACTGTCGAACGCGGAGGTACCACCCGGCCGTTATCGTAGGCGGAGCCAGAATGTGTGCATGTTGCATGCACACGTGTTCCCTCGCCAGAGTCCGTGTGGCGTCCCCCCTTTTCCCATGCATCCCCCTATAGCCCCACGGTACCCAATGGGTGCTTAGGCCTTCGTGGTAGTTGGAGTATAAAAAAAAAACTATACATTAGCGGACAAAAGTTTGGAAACATTCTTAGTAATTTTCAAAACGTGCGCTAATTTTCTATTCTTTATTATTAAGGACTATTTTTCTTTCTCATATAGTTTGATTACAGTGTTGAGGATACAAATCATAATTTGTGTTTGCTGTAGTACTACAGATTAGCATTAAAATACCTTCATATTAATTTATGACCAAAAATAAGACGACAAAAGTATGGAAACTTATTTTATTACAAAATTAAATGCAATATTTCTACAAAAAGATTTAAAAAAGACTATTTATCTAATATTTGATAGCATAGCCTTTAGCATTCAACACTACCTAACATCGGCTGCTCATAAAGGAGACCAGTTTTTTACAGACGTCTGTTGGGATATTTTTCCAAATATTTTTTACATAGTCAAATAAATCGTTCCTATTTTTTAAAGTTTTTCTGGTCATTTGTCTTTTAACATGCTCCCAGAGATGTTCTATATGGTTTAGGACCGGGGATTGCGAAGGCAATGTAAGAACATTCACATTTTTTAGTCTTAACCAGTCCTTCACACGAATTTTGAGGTATGCTTGGGGTCATCATCTTGATGCAATGTCCATCCTAAATGCATTTTATCTTCAGGAAAAGGGAGCATGTGTTCACTAAGAATATCTTTGTAATTTTTTTCCGCTACTATATATGCGAATTAAATGACAGAACTGTAAAAAATTGACTTATGCTAAGTGTACTTTGATCCTCATTACAGACTATGAGAGTTAAGAGACAAACAAATCCTTCTACCTAGTTTGAATTCGTTGGTTTGAATGGTGATTCTCATCGCGAGAAAAGCTTTTTCAAGCACTTTTTATGAAACACTGCCTATATTTTTATTAAGTTATAGTTGTCATGCAGGGTCTTTCTACAGTTTTTTCAATAACGCTTTCAAGAGCATGTAATCGTTTTTGTACTATAAATATATGAATATATTTGTTCTACAGAAATATAGGTTTATACACATGTTTGAAAGACTCTGCACTTTATATGTCGCAAAGAAATTAAAACATATACCAAAGATGTAAGCATTTAGGAAGTAGACACGTAAATTGTGCAATATTCTGACTGTATGAAAAGTGGAACATGTGGTAAGGTGTTACATGCTGTACATTGGATATTGAAACGTCATTTCAAATCGCCTTTACCGATGTAGGTTGGTTTTATTGATTTTTGGCACAAGTCCAAAATATATTTTTATATGATTTAAAATAACTGAACCAATTTTCAACTTGAAGTGAAAGTTGGGCAATATTCGTTCGTTTTAAACATAATTTTCATAAATCAAACCTAGGGTTCAAATTGAATCAATGAGCATACTTCACCCAACAAACATTATGACACCCTTCCATATGAGGAGATCCGTATAGACCCATATTCTCTATCTAGACAAAATTGATATTAGCCAAAATATATTAAAATTCTCACATTACATGTAAAACGACAAGGAAAAAATTGATGCTATAACAAATGTATATTTTAAACATATCAAATCACTGGTACCGCCCATCGAAATTATAAAATATACTCTCCAATAAGACTTTTCCATTACAGACATGATTTGCGGATTCATTTTATTATACAGTTTTGGCCCCGTGACAGGATTTTGCTAATCGTCTGAATTGAATGTTTCTTTTATTTTTACTGCAAGTATCGTAGCTATGATTATTATCAGTGTGCACTTCGTAATTTTCCAAATTCCCGTGGACATGCAGTAGACGTGTGAAGTTAACGTAAGGATTTTCTGTTCAGAAGCATTCCTATAATCTAATTGATAACATATACTCAACAATATTCTCACTGCCCTTTATAGCCCAAATACATGATCGCTGGATGAGCGCAAGCGAGTAAGGCGTAACTTAACTTTGAATGAGTGCAAAGTACGCTATATGCTTGACATGACAGTTGCTTTACAGCGAAATAGTCTAAGATCCTAATTAGAAGCGTCTTTCACCCATCTGTTTAATGGATGAAAATTATTTTATATTAAATTTATTATGTTAAAAATATATCGCAGGTGATTTGGCTAAAAAATTCCTGGCAAGACTGATTAATTAAAAATTGAAAAATGACTTTTTAAATGTTGCTTTAATAACTTTAGTACCAACCGAAAGTATGAAGATTATAGAATATCCAAATGTTGGGTTGTTTTTTTTTCTGGGCTAAATACTGGGGTGGCAGGTATAAACAGCTATCAGTTATTTGCACCGATTTGTTTAATAAATAAATCTTTTACCAAAATAGACACGATCATCATCACGATCACAAAAACCTAGCTGGAATGGTGATTGTTAGGTTTTTAAGAGTGAATTATTGTGATGTGAATGGAAACTGGCAACAAAGTGGTACGAGCTACATATCCCGTGCGTTAGAAGAAAACGCATGTAAGGGATTTTGTTGTGATTAATATAGAAAAACTCAGCACACAAAGTTGTTTTAAATGATTTATTGAGCAGTTGAGCAATGAATAAAATAATATTGTAACACCCTGTATAGTGCGGTAGGTCACAGCTGTGTCACGTGTTGTCAGATAGAAGGTACATATTTCAACTCCTTTGCTTAAATCTAAATCGGATCTTCTACCAAAAATTGCTTGTGAAAGGCGTTAGCGTTTGAATCATGATGCACATTCCATTGGTCGAAGCCTCCGTCAAATATAAATGTAGGTGAAATCCACTACGTCATCAATTAAACAGTTGGGTGGAGGTCGCTTCTTAATCGGATCTTCTACTAAAAATTGCTTGAGAAAGCATTTGAATCATGATGTATGTTACATTCCATTGCAGATTTGAATCTTCGTTGATGCCCGTAAATGCTATACATGTTTGAACTTTTGGTGTAGGAGAGCTGAATAGCCAAGTATGTCAGAGTGCCGTGCTACTGATACGTCGGCTAGACGGGCTGCGGGTTCGAATCCCGCCTTCGGAAATGACATTCCGAGCCATGGATGTAATGGTGATGGTCATATGAATTGTCCGGCTTATATGGGTACATTTCAAATCAATTAAAATTAAGTGAAACAACCAGCTTCAAGCCAGACTACCTGGGTCACTTCAGTTAAGCTAGTTGATTGTGCAAAAAGTGCACCAATAAATGATGAAAGAATGATTGAATTTTCCTCGATCCTTGAAAAAAAATTGAAAACACTCAATATACTTTTTAATTGATATTCCACCGAAATAAAAATTTTTGAGCATGCCCCATTTGATTTGACTGGCACAAGCCACATCAACTTCGATTCACAAACGTACATCTGAACTTGCGTTCGACCTAAATATGGGTTTTGAGGCGCGAATCTCTTATAGATATATTCTGCTTTTCACAGTCAGGACATGTAAATATAGTTTTATTAGCGATTGTAAAATCGAGGGTCTGAACAGGGTGACCTATTTAATTTTGGGCGAAGTTAGATGTAAAAAGACAATCCATCACAATTATTATGTTCTAAATAGTTTGGTTTTGCAACAGATGTGATTTGTTCCGATTTCCATATTTACAGGGTGTTATGATATATTTACAGAGATGCCCATGCAGCAAAAATTCAGGCTGGTAGTCCCTGAGAGGTCCTGAAAGTAATTTAATACCTAAAACTTAGTCCTAGGTCCTAAAAATATTTTGTCCATCGATGATGTCGAAAAATCCGATTTGTTTCAAATTACATCACCAAAAAACAATGATTTATTTTTTCAATTTTACTTTAGCAACACAGTAGACTAGTTGACAGTGCAAGTAGGTCTTGAGTAGTTATATTTGTTTTATTGGTCCAAAAAAAAATTTTTCATCAGACCTAAAAGACCGTAACGCTTTAATTTTAAAATATATATTTCTTAGACAGGCGAAAACGCTGTCCGTCATGTTTGCCCTTATTGATGTAGTCTGACGTCATATCACTTGTAAACAGCGGCTGACAGCAACATAACCTCTCAACATGTAAACATGACTATCATTATATCAGAGCACTGTACTTACGTAGAAGTCTTGGTGTTCCTCAGCAGAAATCTGGGTTGAAGGTGGAAAAATTCCAATTTCAATGAAACGAGAAATCGATGGCTCCTTGATTAGGAGTTTGTTAGAAATACAACGTTAGTCCACGAATGACATTTCTTTGTTTACAATTTGTATGACGTCACTTCATGGCCGATAGTTTTTTCACCGCTTCGTATTAAAAATAATAAATATATTTTTTTGAATTGAACTTATGTATCGATCTTGCACTTTTAAAAATTGAAATCGATATTAGTTTTCCTATGCCTAATACTGTAAGAAATACTCATTTATTCTATGACATTAGGTATGAGTTACATAACTATTCTGTGGGAGTGATATTGTGTAGTGTTATTCAATACAAAGGAAAAGACTTTGTAATGTTTCTCAAAGGGACCGTCATATTTGCCAATTCATCAAAGTGATAATCGTATACTGCCATATTTTCCATGAGAAAATGTTCCCGGAATTCGAAAAAAAGATGTGTGCCCAGGTAAAAAACTAATTGATGAACTATCGAGTCATGATCGCGTCAGCCTGTAAAGTAGGAGTACTTGATGTTGCTAAACCAAGCTACTGATTACTTGTGGATGTTTTATTTAATTGACTGATATAGCTTTATGACTTATTAAGCATTTATCGTTTAATTTAGGGTTAGTTTGGGGTTGGAGCTTTTGCCTCTCTGTATAAAAATATATTATCCGAAATATATGTTATAGAAATACAAATGCTCTTTATTGTTTATTGTTAGATATTTGTGCATATTTGTATCGTATGGAAATAATATATAGTTTTTACACGATGACATTTTTATTTAATTTATTTCCCGTAGTTTCATCTGTACAGGGCATCCCTGTATAAATTGACCCCCTCTAACTGTTTTATATGATTAAGAAAAAGTTGTATATGAAAGTTATAGGGTCTAGTAAGAGATTTTTCATTCAAAAGGGTGGGTTTTGTGCTGGCTATCGATGTGCAGCGCCATCTATTGGAGAGTAGCTAGCAGCTCATCTTCAAAGATCAAGAAACTTAGATTTCCGTGAGGCGGATTAAAAATCCCCCGATTTTTTGATGAAAATGTTATTTTGTTTGGATTATTAAATCCAGTGTTGCCAGAGCGAAGTTTAAAATATCCGTCACACGTATCGCAAAATTATTTCGTCTTTAATAACAGGAGCCAGCACATTTTTAATTATACTTATGCATTTGGATCTTTTTAATTTAAGTGAGCTAGAGAGATCTGGGTCTTTAAAACATGATTGACTAACTCCTGTTATATGATCAACAGTTCTAAAACTTATATAATGACTTACAACTAAAAGACTATATCTTAAGCAAGCAAATATTTGCCGTTTTTCCAACTCACGTGCTTCCCGAGACTGAAAAGTGCTATCTAACGTTCTTACATTCGAAATTGCTTGTACATTAGTGGCATGCCTTTTTGATTTCGAATGATTCGCTAAATCTGATTTTTTAGCACCCATTATTGGATTACAAGCTTTACATTTTGCTTTCAACTTGTCATTTTCAATAGGTCCTAACCAGCCTTTAAATAACGGATCTTCTAGCCATGGTGAAGTAAACATTTGTTTTCGTGTCTTTTTCTTAACAGGTTGCTCTGGCTCTTGGTTATCCTGAGATTCGCAAGTCGAATTATCAGGCTCAGACCTGATTCCACTAGATTCCGCTCTTCTATTTTGTCTGTATTCAGGTTCGGGATGCTCCGAGTCCGACACAGATGCAGTCGAAGTGGATGGTACGGGCACGTTTGGTTTCACCGTTTGTTTTTTAGAAGGATTTTTATCAAAAAAATCGTTAATGGTCTGCTGTCGCCTTTCCATTATTCCTATTTTCCAGACGAAAAAGCGTTGAAAACAAATTTCGCGACTAAGATTTATTTCTGGATCAAACTATAATATGTTAGATATTTAAGCAGTTTTGTTACTTACCAGTAGATTTAATATTAAAATCTGCAGCAAATGATATATCAATAAAATGATCAACACAAAAATAAGAACACTAATATAAACGAAACTAAACAGTATATACCCAGAGCTGAAAAATACAATACAAAGCGAGAAACCTAATATTATGTCTGCCTGCTGAGACCTGTTAGAAACGATTAGTATTGAAAGCAGTACGTACGCCATCTGTTATTGAAAAAAAAGGCAAGTGGAATAATTCTCTTCTCTGTTCCTAGATGGCTCAAGCGGCACCAAATGCACCAGCTTTATTATTAATGTGATAATAAATCAGACTCTAGCCACTGCCTATTTAGGATTTAGAACGTTATTAACGTTAAAACAGTGAAATAAATATGATAGTTTTGTATGTAATAAATTCCGCTACATTTTGGGCTAATTTGCTCTACCGCCGCTACGCCGCTCTTCCCAAAATAATCCGCTACAAATAGCGGAATTCCGCTACGTATGGCAACACTGATTATATCTAATATTACGAATTGATTTGGCTTTGCTGAAAAACAAAGCGTCCTCCTTGTATACATTTCGGCTTAATGAACGGATTTCAGCAGCTCTTCAAATTCAAAACAGTGGACTTTGTGCTGGCTACCAATATGCACCGCCATCTATTGTAGAAAATGATAGTCCCTTTTCCTCTGAATCAAAATGTATATAGTTTATGATACTGATTTTCATTAGTTTGGCCAAAAGCCATTTGTGTCATTTAATCATGTGTACCCGAGTTTGAACCAGTTTGCATCTAGATGCCTGTGAAATCTGGTATTGGGCGGTAAGACATATTATTGAATGACACACAAAAACTTCAAGTAATAGAAATAAGCTTAACAAATCATATGCACTACTACTGTACGAACACGACCGAGTTCCATTTCATATTCCATTCAAGTCTCACCCTGCACCATACCAATCGTTTCCGACGATGCTGTGGGGTAGGGATCAGAGGTATTACAAGATGGGGACGGTTTGAAAACAGTCCAAAAGACCTTATTCAGCGATAAACTGTCCTCATTGTTATTGTCATTCGGACAGCATCAAACCACTGGGTCTAGTCTATACTACAACTATTTAAAACTGTAATGACTCATACGCGTGATCAACACGTGATCAGAGCTCGATCCCGGCTTCCTTCCAGTACAGCCGTATAGCGTACGACATATGTCGTTTCTGTGGCTTTGCGGTGGTCAACAGCACAGACAGAGATGGAAATAATAGCTGATTGTTCTCCGCCGGTAGAACCAATGAAATCAAAAGACGCGCCTACCGGCAGACTCATAGGCGGCGGCAACGCATTGGAACGTGTTTCGTTGAGCGATCGCATATTGTGTGTTTTTATAAGAATTGTTGTGTGATTGTTATTGTTGTGGTTTCTGTGGTTACTGTTTTGGTTATACTTAACCATGGAGAGTACAAATGGCACGAGTGGAAATACTGAAAGCCAGGGAACAAGTAGACGGCTTCGTAAAGCACTGAAGAGGGATGCGAAAGAAAAGCAAGATGGCGTTAAGGCGAACCGTACATTCATTCTTCTTTAGGAGTAAGATACCAACCCTCAAGGCTGTACAGGCAGCGATCAAGGAAAATGAAATTATACCCCAAATGAGCGTCGAGGTAATGAGGAAATCCCTGCACGAAATTAATTTTCGTTGCGAAACGCGTAATCTGAAGTCAATATTGATAGAGAGACCTGAAATAGTCGCCTGGCGTCGAAAATACCTACGCGAAATGATTGAATATAGGCGACAAAGCAGAAAAATCTATTATTTGGACGAGACATGGGTAAATGCAGGTCACACAGTTAAAAAAACCTGGATAGACAAAAACGTAGTGAGTAACCGACAAGCAAGCATTGAAGGTTTGTCAACAGGTCTTCGTGGACCGTCAGGGAAAGGTCAAAGATTGATCGTAACTCATATTGGTAGCGATAGTGGCTTTTTAGAAGAGTGTGACTTGATTTTCGTCTCTAAGAAAGGAGGTGATTACCATGACGAAATGAATTCCAGCTGCTTCGAGAGCTGGTTTCAAGGGGTGCTTCAGCGAGTTGAGCCCAACTCTGTGATCGTCATGGATAATGCTTCCTACCATAGTCGTCGATCCGAACGTGTACCGACTATGGGATCTCGAAAAAGTGACATGCAGCAATGGTTTCGCGAAAAAGGAATCCCGTTTGACGATTCATGTGTGAAAGCGGAATTGTATGAAAAAATTAAACAGCACAAACCTGCGAACATTAGTTACGGACTGATGAGATGGCCCGTCAATGTGGTGTCACTGTGCTGCGGTTACCGCCCTACCACTGTGAACTGAACCCAATAGAGCTCATCTGGGCTCAAGTGAAGGGTTATATTGCGCGCCATAACACAACCTTCAAATTACCAGACGTTAAGGTTTTACTTGAGACTTCCATACAGCTAGTAACGCCCGAAGCTTGGCAGAATGCTATCCGTCATGTTGTGAAGGAAGAAACAAAAATGTGGCAGCTTGACCACCACATCGACACCATCATAGAGCCAGTTATAGTCAATTTCAACGAGGAAAGCGATAGCGACAGTTTATTACTGTCAGATGTAAGTGGAAGCGACGATGAATAAAGGTAATTCCCAAATTTTTGACTTACAATATGTTTCAAAGCACTCTTTATTAAGCATGTGACAAATCTAGTTCACCCATGTTAAACATTCATACCCCGCCTAAGAACAGCCGACTACTGGTAGTTAAGTGATGTTCACGTGAACATCGATGAGTCATTACAGTTTTAGATAGTTATAGTATAGTCAGAAATACAGGCCCATATATTTGTACAATTAGTACATTCTACATAGTCCCTATCCATTTGATAACACTAACGAGAGGTAAAAGGACACCACTTTCACAAGTTATTACCAGGCGACTTGTATTTAATTTTAAAGTAAAGATTTGTTACTATGGGAAATATATTTTTACGATATAATCCTATAATATCACAATTTATAGAATTTTACTATAAAATACACAACGATTCAAGACAGGTATAAACTTTATTATACAAAAGTTACTAAAACCTTCACGGAAAATCTACGTTTTTTAAAAATGGGCGTTTCCAGTTAAAAATCTAAAGTGTAACGGAATATCTTATTTTTGGATCACCCTGTATTGTACAACTATAGATGAAAAGACGTCCCCCTAAAAATCAAAATTGACGAGTCCGAGCGTTTTTTCCCAAAATATACCAGGAGAGTCACAAATGGGTCACCCTGTATATTGTTATTCTTAACTATGTTTTCTTTTGTTTACTGTGTTTTATTGATATTTCCTAAAATTGGGTGTATCTGCGTGTTGGAAATAAACTTATCATTTTTTCTTTAGCCCTGGTAAACGTTATTACCCCACAAAATAAAAAATATATATATATATATACCCAGATGAAAAACTGTCTCATCGTTAGACGCGGAATATAAACATCATTCCTCTGTCAAAGATGTAATAAATATAGAACAATATACGGTTAGAAGATATACAAAGCACCATCCACTGTTTTATCACTCATCCGTAATTAATGTTTTCTCCTAAAACGTACGGCTGCTTTGGACACAGGTTCTAAAAATAATCTTAACTTTTCCAGCTTAAAAATAGATATTTTGATGTAGCGCAACTCGTACAGTTATGCCACCCGCAACTTCACAAAACGTTGACTTTTTCCTAGAATAAAACGATTACGATGCGAGATCGTAAATAATGAAATTTTCGCAAAGTTACTAGTGAATCGTTAAAGTGGAGAAATATCGATTAGGATCCAATAGAGGTTTGTGATTACTAACAAACAGCATGTAAATATTTTCAAAGAATGTTATATTCAGCGCTCATAATGGACCAGAAACCAAAACTAACCAGAACCATCATCCCGTTCCACATAGTTCGGAATAATTTTTTAAATAGAGTGCCTGCATCCTCAGATAGGGATAGATCCTTCCAAAAGTAGATTCTTATAACATATTATTAGCGTTTTGATAATTATTTGTACGAGACAATGTACAGGGTGGCCAACTAAGAATGCGAGGTGGCCAACTAAATTGCAACTTCTTTCTTGACTTTTTGGACAATCAATTACCGTTGTTGTTGGAAGCTGTGCCACTGGAAACACGGCAAAACTTGTTTTTGCAGTTGGATGGTTGCCCAGCACATTTTGCTATTATTGTGCGAGAGCATATTGATGCAGTATTTCAACAGAGGTGGATTGGAAGATTAAGTCTGTTTCCATGGTCTTCGCGATCACCAGACTTAACTTGCCTTGATTTTTATTTATGGGTACGGTTAAAGGACATTGTGTTTCAGACTCAACCTACAACCAGAGATGATATGAAAAACCGGATACGCAATGCAATACGTAACATACCGAGAGCCGAAGTTCAAGCTGCAGTTTTGTCTACTCATGAAAAGTTTCAGGAGTTCATAGAGCGTGATGGTCAGCATTTCGAGCATTTACGGGAGCACTAAAAACCTTTTTTTAAATCGGTCATTTTTAGGGCCACAACTTAATAATAAAAAGAAATTCCAGAGAAATTACTTTAAAAAACATAGAAATTTAATAGATTTCCGTATACAATTTTATTTGGCCAAAATTTTAGGTTAGGAACAAGATATCGAGTTGCAGTTTATATATATATATATATATATATACAGGGTGTCCGCAAAGTTGGGGTTTTCCTTTACACGACGTGTAGATCTTGAAAACATAAGCAATTTTTCTTAGTACCATATACACCAATGTCTTAAGGGAACCGAGATAAGGGGCTCTGCAACATCAAAAATATCTGAATACCGTCCTGTAGCCGCGACATCACCGACTGGTACAAGATCACTGGCTCAACCCGACGACATAACTGGGTCGGGGTCAGTGTGTCAGGTCAGTATGCAACCTTCAACCGACGGTTACGGTCACGCGTGTAGAGGTAATCGCGTAGACGAGAATCCCTCAACAAGCACTAGAGACGTGGCTAGAGAAGTGCAAGTATCAAAAACTAAAGTGTGGCAAACGCTGCGTGAAGAGGGGCTGTATCCGTTTCACGTCCAACGTGTACAAGCCCTTCAACCTGATGATTTTCCAGCAAGAGTGCGGTTTTGTGAGTGGTTGTTGCATCAGCATGACAATAATCCGGACTTTTTGAAGTGCATATTGGTGACAGACGAATCTACGTTCACGCGTAATGGGGTGAATAACTTTCGCAACACTCATGTTTGGTCAGTAGAAAATCCGCACGCTGTCCGTCGGGCACATTTTCAACAAACATTTTCGGTGAATGTTTGGGCTGGCATGGTGAACGGTATGCTCATTGGACCAGTTATTCTCCCAAATCGATTGGACGGGATGCAATACCTAGACTTTTTACGCAACATTTTGCCTTCCTTGTTAGAAGATGTGCCATTAAGTGTAAGACAATCAATGTGGTTTCTGCACGATGGTGCACCGCCCCATTTTAGACGCGAAGTGCGTGAGTTTTTGAATGAATTATTTCCGAATAGGTGGATCGGACGTAATGGACCAGTAGCGTGGCCTCCGCGATCTCCAGACTTAACACCATGTGATGTTTTTCTTTGGGGAGAAATGAAACGCTTAGTGTACAAAACTGAAGTGCATACGGTTGACGAACTTCGTCTCAGAATTGAACAAGCTGGTGCTTTCATTCGGGGGAGGGACTCCATTCTCAAAGCCTGCACCGATGCTTGGCTACGTCGTGCACGCACCTGTGTTTTTGAATCAAACGGCGATAACTTCGAACAATACCTATAAAGTACGTTTACCTAAAAACTGAAAACGCGGCAACGCCGTCTTATTTGTTACCTCTGTTCCTGGTCTGCGCCACCGCCGGCGTCTGCTCGGTAGCGCATCAGCTGATTTCATTTTCTGTTGGAGCGGTATGATTTCGGGCAGAGACGTACTTAGCCCTTCTCGTCAACTGGAGAGTGAGTACTTTTTCCTTTATTTTTTTTTACTTGGCCGCCCTCGTTTCACTACACATTACCACCTTTGTTATTTCAATGGTAGTTGTTTCTGAAAAGGAAAACCCCAACTTTGCGGACACCCTGTATATATAGCTCTTTTCAACTAGCCTAAGATTGTTTAAATCGGCGGAGCCGTTCGAAGATACGGGGTACTTTTTACGGAAATCTTTGAATAGCCCCCACCTCTTTATTTTTAGAAATACAGCAAAAATTGTCAAACAAAAGAGATTCAGATTATCCTTGAATTTAAAGATCAGATATTTTTATGTTAGGTAAATATACCGGAATTCACAGAACTTTTAGATTCAAGATTGCAGTTACGCCCCGTTGAGGCCATTTCAGAAACGAACGTTTTAGTAAGAACTTTTTTTGCCGCAAGCCTCTACGATGGCTAGGTTCCCAGATACAGTAGCTCGCATTCTTAGTTGGCCACCCTGTACAAGAACTCTTAACTTTGACAGCCCATCGGTTTGCCATTTTGAAAAATAGTGAATTTTAATTTAATTTAATACTAGTATCAATATACCTGCCAACTCAGTAGTTAGGCCAGGAAAAAATAGACAACCCAATCTTGCATGTTCTATAGGCTCCATACTTTCAGTTGGCATTAAATCTATTTGTTAAGCTTATTAGTACAACTTTTATATTTATATATTTTTAACATCCTAAATTTGACTTAAATATTTTTAATCCTTTAAAAAGATGGGTGAAGGTCGCTTGTAATTCGGATCTTCTACTTACAGATTTCACTAAAGAATCGCATTTACAGGGCAAGCAGATACAAAAATGGACGTGGACACTGAACTGATGTTCGAATGTCTGATCTATCTCAATGCATTCTATTTTCCTGTATTTGGCATATGTGAAACGATTATGACAGCAGCGAAGTATAACAGTATTGTAGATACTCCAGACATAGTTCAAGATGCAGCAGTTGCATTCACAAAGCTGTCCGCAGAACTAATCAAGATGGTCATATATAAACGATTCAAAAATGTTCGAAGAAGTAAGTATATAAAAATAATATTTTAGAGTTTGGGAATATTGGTTCATATGTTTCCATATGTAGCAACCGTTCAGGTATGACCAAGTTTCCAGGTCAGTTACACGTAATATACTCGGTGACATTAGAAGTGTTAGGTACAAACAGAAAAAAAAATTTCTTCACCTTTATTTTTTAGCAATGAGGTAGTCTGACATCAAGAATGAAACGATAACATTCTCATGAAATTTTATTGACAAGTAATAAGAAAACAATTAATAATGTGTTGGGCGACCCCGCAGCTGAATACACTCCTGTATACGTCTAGGCATCGACAAAATGAGATGATCGTTGTCTGGAACTACAAAAACTTATTTTCTCATTTGCGTCCGGACACTAATTTCGAGGCTATGATCATATATTTGATACAATATCTAAATTGATATGACAGCAATTAAATTTGCATTTTATTGTAAATAACAGTGTCTTACTGTTGCTCTACAAAATGCTGCTTGATAAATTCTTTGGGAACAAACAAAATTACAGAATTTAACAAACATCGAGTAATATTCAAATTACAGGACTACCGTCTGAAAAAACCTGTTCCTTAAGCCATCCCTGTTAACAGGGAGCTCTCGCGCCATCTACTGGGCGGTGGGACAACTACTTCTTGCCTTGCCACCGTCACAGCGTGGTCGTGTAGGCGTCCTACTGTCCAGTAGAGTGCGCGACATCTTCCTGTTAACACCAAGTGAACTGATTTACTCGATGTTCATGCGAGAATAAACATTTTGTAATTTTATGTCTTCAAAGCATTTATTAAGCACTGTTATGGTTTGGCCAGAAAGTAAGATTTTCTGCCTTAGTTTCTCTACAGTTTGAACCGGTGTAGTATAAAATATACTAGTGTTGAGGTTCCACCACAAAAAATAGTCTAAACTATTTAAATCAGAGGACGTGGGAGGCCAAGACTGAGTTTCCTACGTCCTATCCAGCGAGTCGTAAACGGTCCATTTAGAAATTCCCTAGCGTGAATGTTGAAATGTGCAGGAGCACCATCATGCATTTCTTCTCTCAATAAAAGTGACACATCCTCGAGCAAAATTGGCAAATTGTTTTCAAGAAAGTGTCGATGCAATAGTCCATCCAGCGACCGTGGAAGGAAGAACGGTTATATGAGGTCGTCTCTCAACTATTCCAACCCACACTTTCACGGAAAACTGCTCCTGATGATGTGCCTCCGTAACTACCTATGATAAGAAAACATTTTTTTCTTAAAAGTTTAACACCCTATAGCTCAAAAGTTCAGAACGTATGTTCATATAAACTTCCTAAAATTAAATTACACCCTGTATATATTATGTCTATGATACATTCAGTTTTGATCATAAAAATTCTTTAAACAAAAAGGCTATATCATTTATGCCTCCTTTAGTTCAAGAGGGACGAACATATATTTCAATGAATAAAGTGTTATTCCATTGTTAAAAGTATCTAACAACCATGACCATAAACTGTCACCTAATGCACTGAAATTCTTTGTTTTCAGAAATCACCACCGCCATTGTAGTTTTCTTCACCTTCGTCACATTTGCAGCCCTAATATACCAGTTGTTTTTACAAAAACCAATAATGAGGTTAGAATACATATTAAATTCGATAACAATTATGCTAGCAACGACAGAAATAGTGTTTGGAATTCTGGATTTGCTACCTTGCTGTCAAAAAGTACATTATTACTAAAGACCATCGATTTTCATTCATATACCGTAGCAGCCGCGCAGGCAGAAGTCAAAATACCAGGGCACCGCGGCTGCTATGAGGAGCTTACAGAAACTTTGTTAATCCGATTTCTGAATAGTCTGAGGTTAGTAGAACTGGGAAAAGCCTCCTTAGGTTGTTCCACAAACTCGATACCCTGGAGTCAAAGGCGCGGTCGTATCGGCCAGTTTTTTTTTATATATATATATATATATATATACTTTGAAGTTGAGTCATTAATTTTCAGATAATGATTGTAGAAGCAAGATAAACCAAAATATGTATGTAAAAATAAAAAAAAAATTCAAAAAAATTTTACCTTGTTTTATAAAGTATCCTCCCGACAAGTAATTCAGTGCGGACCTGTATTTGATCGTGCGGTCTTGGAGCACCGGCATGCCCTCCCCTGTGAGGTCTTAAGTCACCTGATTCACGAGCCCTTTATACTTCATTAACAAAGGCACGGGGGGTTGGTTGCACTCGATTGGGAAACCGATCCGCATAAATTCGTGATGCCGCGGCAGCATTTTGTAAACATGTGCCATTTTTTATTTCGTTTGAGCCACGCAACAAACACCACTATTCACTCACGCGTTACCGACTGACACATTGACTGAATACAACTGAAAGAAAATTATAGTAAAAACATCGCGTTTCAAATTCTTTCGCTTTTTTGTTTCCGATGCGATGAACCGATAAGGCGGATTATATCCGTTGTTGCCAAACACGAGCACATAATATTATTATTGAGACAGGGCGGTACTCAAACTTCTAAAGGGCTATAACTTTGTTACTTTAATTTTACCAGAAAAAAAAATATTTCTTTTGATCAGATCTACTAACTGTTAAAATAAATGACTCAACTTCGAAGTCACCCTGTATATTCCAACTACCACGAAGGCCTAAGGCCTAAACACCCATTGGGTACCGTGGGGCTGTAGGGGATACAGGGGAAAGGGGGAACGCCTCACGGACTCTGGCGAGGGAACACGTGTGCATGCAACATGCACACATTCTGGCTCCGCCTACGAGATCCGCCGGGTGGTACCTCCGCGTTCGACAGTCAGGGACCGTCTACCACCTACGGACAATCACAACATCCATAGCCAAGAGAAAAATTTCAACGCACGGCGACTGATCAGGAGACCGAAGTGTCTACTCTACTGCGGCCACCGTTGCTGCCTATCTTCTCGATGTAGTAAGTACGACACGGTTAAAATGAGAGGCCGGAGTCAGGCACATCGCGCGACAGCATCATGGGGAGTCCTCTGAGGAGTCAAGCCTATTGGCGTAGCGCTAAAAGAGGGCTAGATCGCCGACAGCCCATCGGTGCGAAAGCATTGAGCATGGAAAATGCACCCCAATCATGTGATCAGTACTCGAGGTTTGGTTTTCTCTGTGGCTTGTACAGAGTGAGGAAATCATGTGGAGAAAAGTGCTGCTGAGCCTAGCTTTTCTCAGCAGCCGCCTCTATTGACGTAGATAGATGAGTTCGCGCCAAATCAGGTCCTCGGTGATCTGGACTCCGACCAGCTGAAATGAACAGCAATGAAATGCCTTTGGAGCTCATAATCTGCCATGATTTTTACACCGAAACAGCCACGCAGGTAGAAGCCTAAATGCCAGGACACCGCCGACGTGGCCCAAAGAAACTTTGTTAATCCGGTTTTTAAACTGCCTAAGGTCAGTAGGACTAGGAAAAGCCTCCTCTTGTAAATTGTTCCACAATCCTCGGAACAAAGATGATGGATGTACGAAGTTTTTTGGCTTTGGCAGAACTCGGCCATCCATCGAAACCGGATGAGGAAAAAAGGTCGTTGATATCTAAGATGGACAGTGTCGGAGCCAAGACCGATCCCTGGGGAACACCCGCGTTGACGTTGTGGGACGAAGAGGAGAACCCATCAATTGCGACGGATACATTTCAGCCAGAGAGAAAGTCAGTCACCCATCTGCAAAGCTTCTCTGGGAGGCCATAGGATGGAAGTTTGCATAGCTGATTGTACGCTTTCATGATATCAAGAGCATAAGACTGGATGTGTTTACTCCACAATTGCATCAGGTAAGCTAGGAGGTCCCCTGTGAATCGTTGGTGCCAGAAACCATACAGCCTGTCGCTAATCAAGCCGTCACGTTAGAGGTAGTCCAGAAGCTCGTGATGTATGCACCTGTCCATCACCTTACAGAAAGCAGCCTATAGTTGTAAGGGTCCGTCTTAGATCCCTTGTTTTGGGATGGGTTGGACATGAGCAAATTCCAGTCTTCTGGGAAGGTGCCGGAGTCGTAAGATATCTGAAAGAGACTCGAAAGAACTGGAACAAGCTCCGGTGAACACCTCTTCAATACAACGGCAGTAATCAAGTCCGGACCAGCAGCTTTGTTGATGGCAAGCGACAAGAGCGCGGTCTTATGCGTGAATGCTACTTCCCTCATAATGTAGGGAACCTTTTAAATCGTGCGTTGAGGGTCCATGGTGGAGTTGGCAGCAAAGATTTTGGCAAGCACTTCCGCCTTAGCCTTTGGGTCGGTTACAATGATTCCATCCTGACACGGAAATGGTTGAATAATATTCTGTTAAAAGCTCCTTTCAATTTGCTTGGCCACTGACCAGAAAGACCGACTGCCATTGCTTTGCAATATTACCATGCGCCTAATTCTTATATCGTGCTGGTCTTTGGCACTGCGGACCACCTCAGACCACTGTTCTCTACGGTTGGGTTTTGTAAGAAGGTTCTGTATGCCTTGACCATCGAAACCGGATGAACGCTAGGGCGCTTATTGTTAGTCAAGGTACCGTACTGTGATTAAACAGTTATGCATGGAATTAATGAATCTAAACCTATGCAATGTGACAATCAGCATTCATTAGATTTACATGATGCAAATGATACAAATCTGGTGAAGTGTATACTAAAATACTCCTCTGTTCATAATTTGAAAAGATTCAATACAGAAAAGTGACACTGAATTCAAATTGTGTATAAAAAGCCTACCTTATAAGCGGGGATTCGGCTATTTTATGTTTTGATACCTGTTAATTATAGAATATTTAAGCTAATTATTTGATTGTTGAAAATATTTCCAAGCAACTTTGTAACTAAATGAATAAAGTATTTTTTTAAAAATAGTTTCATTTTCGGTTTAGTCAGTCACAACCAAAGCCCTTATCATCTAAGAGCACTCAATCCCAATCTAAGGTTTATTAACAGAATTGTACTGGGTGCGCCATCTATTACTTTTTTTACCTATAAGTTTATGTGTTACCATGCGAGTCAAAAGTCATGTGGTATGCATAAAGGTATGCTATTTATACTCATGGATTCGTTTACAACACAACAACGCATTTTGGTTATACAAACTTATTACGAAAACGGTCGAAATATAAAAAATACTTTTCGCTAACTTCGCACTAAGTTTGGGCCGACATGGACGCCCTACAGAGCCTGGAATTCGTTGGATTGTTAATCGTTGTGAGGAAACTGGTTAGCTGAAGGTCGTAGACCATACCAACATGCTCTTCTAGCTCGTACTCGTGAAAACATAGCCGTAGTGAGTGATAGTGTGCGAGAAGATCCAACCACCTCGACTAGGCACCGTTCGCAACAATTGGGAATTAGTGAGACCACTTTACGCCGGATTTTACACATTGATTTACACCTCCATCCATACAAAATCTAACTAAAACAAGAATTGAAGCCGGCAGGCCATCAACAGCGGCGTGTTTTTGTTAATTGGATGCTGGAAAGAGAAGACGGATTTTCGGCCAAAGTGCTCTTTTCTGATGAGGCTCATTTCCACCTCAATGGGTACGTAAATAAGCAAAATTGCAGATTCTCGGGGGCTGAAAATCCACACCAATATCATGAACAACCTCTCCATCCTGAAAAAGTGACTGTTTGGGGCGGATTATGGGCTGGTGGCATCGCTGGACCCAGTGGCGGCTCGTGAGGTAGTGCCACGGTGCCATGGCACTACCTTGTCTTCTTCAAAAAGAATATTTTTTTCAATCTTCAATGTTTTACTTTATTTTCTGCTTTTTCATTTTTTTTGGTATAAATTATATGAAATGACAACACTGACAACGTGACAACACCGCAAGCACCCGAACCACGCGACGAGACGGAAAGCATGCCTTGACCTTGACGTCATCAACTTGTGCCAATTTTGGGCCGGCCCAAATAAAAAGAGAGAAATTTTACCAGCATCGCATACGAGCGACAGAGATAACGCTACCCTACACATTTTTATATGAGGTGAATAGCGAAAGACAAGTATAATTTGTGCCAGGCACATCATCAGTCGTAATTCGTTATCAAGTGATATCGGCGGTGTTTTTGTTCGGTCGGTCGTTTCGTTATGATTACGTCTAGTGCTGATTTCGGTCTTTTTTTACCTGAAAAGTGAAAAATACCTTTTTTGTTTTAGTACGTCTAGTGTTAATGAACTGCTCTGTTTTGTGATCATATTTTTTACTGTTTTATTAAAACTAGTGAAAATGAATAAAATCGGGATATTAAAAAACTCATTTAGTGGTTTTTCGCTGGATCAAAAACTGCAAATTAAAGAATTAGGACGGCCAATACCCGATTTAAAAATTGAGAAACAAAGTGGTAGCGGACAAAAATCGCGCTTTCGCAAATTTAATAAAAATGTGTACGATAAAAACAGCTGGATATGTGGTTGTGAAGAAACGAATAAACTATTTTGTTTTCTATGTGTTCTATTTGGAGGTGACGAGACTTGGTCAAAAAAGGTACAGACGATCTTATACATATATGGGATAAAATGAAGACCCACGAAAAATCTAAAGTCCATATGAATAATGTTTTTAGCTTTTCTATTCTTGGTAAATTAAATATAAGGACTCAACTCAATTCGGCTTATCGCAATGATCTAATTAAACATAATAATCAAGTGGATAAGAATCGATATGTATTGAATAAAATTATTAATTGTATAAGGTTTTGTGGAGCATTTGAGTTAGCCTTAAGGGGTCACGATGAAAAGGAAAATTCGGAAAACAGTGGCATATTTAAGGAGCTGGTGAATTTTAGCGCCGAATTAGACAACGAATTGAAAGTCCATATTCAAAGTGCCAAACTTTTCAAGGGTACCTCAAAAACAACTCAAAATGAGCTTCTTGAGTGCATGCTAGATGTTTATCATGAAGAAGTTAAGAAGGAGATTGCAAATTCTCCTTTTGTTGCAGTAATTGCCGATGAAACGACTGACGTAGCCTGTGAATTTCAGTTAGTTATTATTTTCAGATATTTGTGTAAAGGACAACCAGTTGAGAGATTTTGGAGATTTTACGTCCCCGACGGACACGATGCCAAATCAATCGCTGCATGCGTTTTAAATGTTGTAAATCCATTACTAGATCAAAATCCAAACAAATTAATAGCTCAAAGCTATGATGGTGCGTCTGTTATGAGTGGTGAATTGAATGGCGTTCAAAAAATTATTAAGGAAACTTATCCACTTGCAAATTATGTTCATTGCTATGCACACCAGTTAAATCTAATTATGACAAGCGCATGCTCTGTCAATAAGCAGGCTAGAATATTTTTCCATAATTTATCTGGATTGTGCTCTTTTTTTTCGACGTCTCCTCAAAGAACAAAAATTTTGTATGAAATAGTTAATCGCAGATTGCCAAGATCTTCCCAAACACGTTGGAATTTTCAGTCACGAGGTGTTCATACAGTTTATGAAAATAGGAAAGACCTGATTGAAGTTATGGACAATATAGAAAGTACTTCACGCGATTCTTCGTCGATTAATCAAGCCAGTGGGTACAAATTAAAGCTGCAAGATACAAATTTTGTATTTTGGCTAAGTATATTCCATAAAATAATGCCACATGTTGAAATTGTCTTTAACCAATTACAAAAAGTATGCACCGATTCTGTTAAGGTCAAAAATGATTTAGAGAATTTTGAAGCAGCAATTCAAACTATACGAGAACAAATGGATAGCATTATTGACGAGATTGAACGAGTGCAGAGAGAAACTGATGAACCGGCAAGAAAAAAAAGGCAAGTTGAAGAAGGCAGCAAAAAACGGGAAGCGTTAGAAATATGCGATGCAGTATTATCGCAAATAAGAACAAGATTTAACTTTTCTGGGCATTTAGTTGCTTCTAATTTATTTGTGTCTGAAAAGTTTTCTGTTTATAAACATCAGTTTCCTGAAGCACATTTGAATGACACATGCACACAATTTTCATTTTTAGACAAAAACAGGCTTAAAACTGAGTTACAAGTATTATATCAGAGAGAAAAATTGAGTACTACTTCTGGAGCTGTTCCACTATCCATTTTATTGAACGAGGAAGGATTAAATTGTACGTTTCAAGAAACTCTTAAGCTCTTAAGTATTTTAATCACTATACCGATGTCAACATCTGAAGCAGAACGCTCTTTTTAAATGCTGAAACGGATTAAAACTTTCCTCAGAAACACAATGAAGGAAGAAAGGCTTAGTGCTTTAGGAATGCTGTCTGCAGAAAAACATTTTGTTAGTGGCATTGAAAATTTTAATAATAAGGTAATCGAAAACTTTGCTACCAAAAAAGAAAGAAGAATGGACTTCATGTATAGAAAACTTTGAAGTTATAGGTACTTCTCCACACTTGTTTTATAATTTGGTGCGCGTGTGTAAATAGTTTTATTTTTATTTTTTTTTGGACATATAGATTTATTGAACCTCAAGAACTTTGACCACTAACTATCAGGGGTAAGTTATAAGTTATTCTTTACAATTTTGAATCGATTCAAAATTATGGCTTCCATTCTGGCACTACCTCACTGAATTGGCACGAGCCGCCACTGGCTGGACCATTCTTCTTTGAAGATGCCGAAGAAAAGGCCATTACCGTCAACGGGGAACGTTATCGCGGCATGTTAACAGACTTTGTGGCCACAATTGGATCGTATTGGCACCGACGATCTTTGGTTTCATCAAGACGGAGCAACGGCTCACACATCTCGCCAAACAATCGCCTTATTGCACACGAAATTTCAAGACCGCATAATTTCACAAAATTCAGATGTCAGTTGGCCCCCGAGATCGTGCGATTTAACTCCTCTTGACAACAACATTGAAAAACGGCAAACTAACTTTTGATGGATACTGAAAAGAACCAACCTAAACTTTAACGAAACTAAAATTTTACTTTAATTTTGAATCTAAAAGTTCTTGTGAAAGGTACTTTCGCGTTGTACGTAGTAATTTTACGATCTCATTTTGATGCCACGAGATTCAATGGAAGAAGCCAGTACGCCAGAACAAAACTGTGGATATCAAATTAATTAAATGCTTTCAAATACAGGGTCCGCCAAAGGAACCTGACGTTTTCAGAATGGATAGTACGAAGCTGTTTTTTGACGTAGAACATCGGTTACAGTGGGCAAGACATCGGTAGTAGATGCCATTTCAGTAGTCATGGAGCTGTGGACAAGTGAACATCGCGCATTTGTTGTCGAGACGTATTTTAAAAATCACGACTCGGTGATCATTACACAGCGTCTATTTCGTACACATTTCAATGTCGGACGTCATGGTTCTGTTCCATGCCGTAACACAATTAAGTTGTGGGTCAAAACTTTTTGTCGATCTGCATCAGCAATGAAAGCTAAGCCACCAGGATTGCGTCGAACAGTTCGGACTCCAGCCAATTTTGAGAGGGTGCGAACAGCGGTGCAGCAAAGTCCACGTCGTTCAGCTAGGCTACAAGCAATTAGTCTAAGGCTTTCAGAAACAACAGTGCGGCGTATTTTGCATAAGGATTTACATTATCACCCTTACAAATTAGCGATGGTTCAAGAACTGACAGCTGAAGACTTTGTGAACCGTTTGACTGCAAGCAACCAGCTTCTGGAACTTTTGGATGAAAACGCTTTAGGTGGCTTAATTATGTCTGATGAGGCGCATTTCGAGTTATCAGGCTACGTAAATAAGCAGAATTTTCGCTACTGGTGTGCAGAAAACCCGAGAGAACTTCACCAGCGACCCCTTCATAGTCGCAAGGTTACTGTTTGGTGCGGAGTGTCGCGATTCGGCATAATTGGACCCTATTTTTTGAGGACGATGCTGGAAATTCTGTCACGGTCAATTCGCAACG